TTCTTATCCTTTTTGCAACAGAGTATTTTACCCAGCCCTCCTCCCCTCCGGTTCGGGGTGTTGGGACATTTTATTGGAATCACCGTCCCGTGTTTTATGATTGCGGAGAGCATGGTCATCCATATACACCTGGCGATACAAAAGTCCATTCGGGATCTCGAACAAAACTGTGTCACTACGACGTTTTTATACCCTTATTGCTATCAGCTCATTGGGTGACACATTTGATTTACACCAGAATTTACATTATTTATGATTTATTTATTTCAATTGAGGTCACACATTTATGTGGTGAAAATTCCGAGCATAATAATATATAGTGTACATTTTTTGACATTCGATAAATCAGTATTATTATTATTAGTAAGAAGCACCCCTTGCAACGAAATCAAAGGTGTCCGTAGATTACATATAATTAAAATCTATGAATTTACAAAAAAAAAAAAATTTCCCACGAAAACATACTTAAATTACTATCGAACAGCCGACAAAACGCCAATATTTTCAGCTTATCACTGTACCACCAAAGAAACCCGTTTAAGCACCTATAAGCCACCTACAAGTGCTGAGCAAGTGCATCGAAGGGCACGGCATCAGTGCACACGGTAGACGGTATATACTTACAAGTGTACAAGTTAACAATTACAGAAGTGAAAACGCCCCAAGTTGGCAAACTCGAAAAGCCGCGTGTCCATCCCGCGCTCGGAACACCGTATACGTGCAGGGGGCGGGGGAGAGGGTCGAAGTAATTGCGGCGGCTTAATGAGAAAACGCGAATATAACTCACGCGCTCTCTCTTTCTCTCTCTATCCTCCATAACACCCAATGGCTTTGCAGCCGGAAACAATGGCAAAAGAGTCTAATGGCCCGTGTTGCCGTACTCTTTCCCCGTTGCACTGCTGCAAGTATAGATGTATACACATACATATACCTGCTGCGCACTGTTGGGTGACGCTTATTGATAGGCGATGCTAATAACCCGTTTCCTAGGGCAAACTGGCGAGCTTTATTAGCTCCCGCGCAGGTTGTCGTACACGACTCTCGTTGCACGTGTATATACTTACTCGTGCTCTCGCTGATATTTGCATCTAGGCATATATATATACACCTACTTAGTTGCTGGTGGTGGTGGTGGTCTCTCACGCACCGTGGGCTCGTTTTTCTCCACTTACACCGTCAGCTCTCTCTCTCCCTCTCTCTCTGCTCTCTTGCTTAGCTCGAGCGCTTTCGCCTCCGGGGCGCGAGTTTAATTAAATTAATGAAGGAACAGGAGCAGCCAGGAGTGTGTATACCTACAGCCGAGAGAGGAGCTTAATTTATGCGATGTTGCCCACCGACACTCATTTTTTTGACGAGTTGTTTGCGATTGCCTTGATATGGCCATTGATTGCGTTGGTAGGTCATTCATTTGGTCGATCTTTTACCGTGTCTTTGCTTTTAATGGGATCGGTGGAAAATTTGGAAAAAACTTATCTGATGCCGCTATTGGAAATGCGATGGTTAAAATGGCAGGGAACGGTAATTTATCGGTAATTTTCCCGCATCAAAAGTGTTCCCGACCATAAAAGCTTTCCACACTTCCTTTCAATAACTTGCACGAGCTCGCTGTATTTTTCAGAAACACGTACTTATCGGCAATCGTCATCATCATCGGTCATCCGAACGAGCATTCGCGCGTGTCGTCATGCACTGTGGAATCAAAGTCAGGAATCGAGTCACAGCCACCCTTCCCCCCTCACTCTTTCTCTCGCTATAGCCTGGCGCCAGTGATAAATGGAAATTGCGCTGCAGCTTAGCGGCATCGGTGGTGCGACGGACTCTCCTGCTCCTTTCTTTTTTCCTGTCATTTTGTTCCCTGGCGCGCTTTTTTTCATTATTTTCCCCCTCCAGCTTGGTGTTTCACTTTTTCGCTCGTCGAGACGTCCAAATTCATGTTTTCCCGCGTGCACCTCCGCCCCGGATTGATCTATTTCACTTCTGGAAAACGCGTTTGCCGAAAAGAGTTCCCCGATACCCCGGGCGATTCGACGAATGCTTTTAACATTTTTTTCTCCTACTCTCTCTCTCTCTCTCTCTCTCTTTTGTACGTTCCCGTACGCCCGTCCGTTCGTTTGGCTATTTTTGAAAAATAAAAAGCGCTTTGCAATTTAGACTTTGCTCCAACGAAGGTACAGAAATATAACCGAAAAATGTCGGATGCTTTTCTGGTTAGTCTGCGAATTTCGCGACGAATATATACTTTGGTTTATGTTTTTTGTCTTTGCTCTCTTCGCGTGTGATTGCAGCATATACGTACCAGGGTCGCAAGTTATTCAGTTTTTTGGTACCCCAATCAACGAGTTAATTTCACTGTTGATTCAAACAATTTTTTATCTGCAACTGTATAAATTGCAATTCAAACTTGAATAAAGACAATTCAACCATGATTGTTGAACTGCAAAGTTTAATTGTCATCGTTGTTTCTAGTAACATTTCCCCATTGTTTTATTCAAACGCATTTATAAACGATGGTTATTTTGTTTCAATTGCAAATAGCTCATTCGTACAGCTGCAGCAGTGATTTGAAAACAAAATTAACCATATGCGGTTTGTCTTCAAAGTTTTTTGATTCAATTCTTCATTTAAGCCCACGGGATGATTATTGATAATAATTTTTTCATATCTTTCTGTAAGGTGCCCGTACATCAAAAACAACAGATTATCGCGCTAAGGACCTAACAGTAAAGTTAGCCATTGCCTTAAATAAACCGTCGCCGAGCTAATACAACTGAGAGAGTTAATTACCTCGTGTAATTCAATTCGTGCTCCGTAATTTTCTGGGCCACCTCCATTGTACACCTATACTACATATTGTACTTGCTTCATATTTGTTTTTACGTATACCTCGTGAGATAAAAATTACAAACTTTCCAAACATTCGCGAAATTGCGCTAACCAAAGGGAAATTTTTCAACAAACACTCGCTAATGGTTAACAACATTAACGCGATGCGATGGTGAACAAAAATTTCGCAATTAAAAGTTGCATCGAATTTCGCTCGAACGGTATAAAGGTAACTGCTGTGTTATTTTGCATTGTATTTTGTATTTGACATTCACTCGTATTAACTAAAAAAACAAACAAAAAAAATTAAAGAACTCAGTCCAAAAATCCCATCGGACTTTCCATACGCGTCCGTGACATGCAGTGCAAGCGCAGATATACTAAAACAAAAAGAAGAAGAACAAAGGCAGCGGGCGCGCGAAAAAAGTTTCCAGCGGCTCTCGGCTTTCCCTCCCGAGGTTAAAACTTCAAATTTCACGCGGCCGCGACTGCAGTGCACCCCCCCTCCGTACCGTATAACGTATCGCAAAGGAGCTCAGTGTATTTTTTCCACCTCAATATCCACACCCCGTATAACCTCGCAAAAAAAGAGAGTCGGTGGGGCACGCGACAGATAAGGCTTTTCCAAAAACTCGCTTTCTCGGACTCTCGCAGCTCGCTGTAGGTATATATATATATACTTACTTGTGTGCCTTTTGTTTCGGACGGCCGCGAAATCGCGGGAGGCGCGTGCAAGTTGTAGGCGGCCACATGTATAATGTACGTGTATATATACAGATGGAAGGGGGGAGATTAATTGAGCAAAACTTTTTTCCCCTCCCCATCTCCTCTTCCTTCCAAAGCCTCTTTTCTTGGAACAATAAACAAGAGCTCGTTTATCAAAATGGTTCATCAGTTGACCGAAAAATCGGGTCATTACTCTGAAATGTATGTACTTATTGGTGTTTGCTTAAATTTGGCTCAACTCATTCGCAGGCAAAGTCACTTTGGATGAGCCAAAAACAATATCCCTTCTATCTTATTGCAATGCACATGGTGACTGTACCTCAAGGCTAACCGTAAGTGTTAACAAAAAAAAAACGAATTTTAATATGTACTTATTGTTTAAAATTCAGGTGGAGTGTTATATGTTTGTGTGCTTTAGCTCTCTTCCCTCTTACTTTGTGAGCAATGCATCACCTCATGCACGCTGCTCCCTGTTACAAAGTTGGGGGGGTTTTAGTTTTCAACTTTGCAACACTACTAGGTATGTTATTATGTACACTATCGAATGATTTCTTTTCTCTCTTCTTTTTCTTTTTCTTCTATTGCTTGATAATTTAAAATTTCACGTCAGAGTCTTGAGTATGAATCTTCAAAATGTACAATGACGATTACGAGACTGGCTCTCTCTCTCGCTCTCGTCTCCCTAGCGATTTCAACTCGCAACTAAACTTTCACGAAAAAATAAATAAAAAAAATGGTTCACGTAGCTCGCAGTACTCCTTTCCGCAAAATTCAAACAGCATAAATGCAATAATATCCCACCTTTACGTCCGCCTTCCTCTCCCTCCCCTTGACACAGCAGTGCGACGTCGCAGTATACAATACGACAATACGTACAAATTGCCGGGACGAGATAGCGCCGCAGCGGTGAAAATGCAAAATTCAGCCCCGGCGGCATCGTCAAAAAGCCGGGGGCCGCGAGCGCGCCCCGAAACGAATGAAATAAGCATCGGGAAAGTCGAGCCACGAGTACAGTACAGCCTCACATATATCCCCGGAACAAGCACAAGAGCAACTCTACATGTATGTGTGTACACACACGAAAAATCGGCGAAGCTCTCGTGCCCCGAGCCCCCTGAAGTATAAACCGTCTTTTTTTCTTTCTTGCGTGTAGTCTCCTTTTCACCGATGCAGGGGCTCAATTTCCACTCGACTCGCCTACAAGGAAGCAGACAACAAGCACTATAAGCGTAAATACCTCGTTGACATTTTAGACAAAAGCCGATCATTTACTGTCAGCCGCAACGATCGAGACTTGCATAGCTTTTTGGAGTCATTCAAACGATCAAAGTTGTAAATTTGAAAGCAGTAAAGTTTTCCGAGACAAATAAGAGATAATTGACGAAATAATGTATTCATTGTATAAACGTATTGCGATGAAAATTAATTTCACTTTTCTACCTGTTTTACAGATGGCTTCACCTGCTCTTCAACCTCGGCGTACAGGTGGTCGTCGGTCTGCCTCTCGAAATGGTACACGGGAGCTTCAGGATTGCCGCGGTCTACATGGCCGGAGTCTTGGCTGGTGAGTTTTTTTTTTTGTTTTCCTTGCTTGAGAGAGCTCGCACGCAAAATTTTGGGCTGTTGCCGTAATTGAGCGTGTCTCGCTTCCGCTGTCATATGGCTGATGCGCGCCGATGCTGATGGAGACGTTGCCGGGACAGCTCGGTTTTTTCTTACTTTTTTTTCTCGAGATGATAATTAGCGCGATAGGAATCAGCTTGATGGATTTTTAAATGTCTCCGACTCGTTGGTGTTTTTTTCTCTCTCGTTTCCTCTATTTCGTATTTTATTGTTACGAAGGTACTCTCTGTTATTAAAACATTGCTGGTGATGTTACCAATAACCTCCCCTCTGCGATTATAAATATGTAGTACATAACGCCAAGTCGGTTCGTAGCGGGAAACACTTTTTATTCGATTTTTTTTTAAATATCTTAAATTTCTCCACTACTCTTGTATCTTTCGACTGCTCCTTCTTCGCACACTTAGAAATATCACTTCAAGTTGCCGAGAAAAGCTATGATAATGTACTCACGGGCTCTTACGAAGCCCCGAAACAAAACCATCGTGGGACTTTGCGCATAAATATTCATGCCTTCATAATTGAAAGTACTTCCTTACGCTTTTAAAATTCAAATGTTCTTGCTGCCCGCGAGTAAGTTTTTCAGGCATCTATTAGAAAAAAAAAAAAAAAAAAAAAAAAAAAAAAAGAAGATTCAAGATCAAGCTGATGCCTAATTACTTTTAAATTGCGTGGGAAGTATTTCTTGGCTCCTTGGTGGGACCCAACAGGTAGCAAATAGAAATTCTTAATATCCATTTTTTTTACTTTGCTCAAAGTACCCTTTTCATACACGACCGGGAAGAACAAACGATGCACCAGCGCATAAAGTATATTCGACACCATTGCGAACCGAAAACGAACCGCGAAGGACTTACGTTACCAACAGATCCCCAGTCAGTACCGCCCTCGCGTGTAATAATCGTAATTCGCGTCGTCCCGCGTTTCTTCCAACATATGGGCCACTGCGATATTAAATACGATGTATATATGAACAAAAAAAAAAAAAAAAAAAACAAGACACGCGCTTGATTGGTCTGAAGAAAAAAAAGGGGGGGGGGGACAAGACGGTATGTATACCTACGTGCTTCGTAAGTCGCGGCGGGTGACACCGGAAGGGAAGCAAAGGTAATAACAATCTTCTCTCCGGCAGTGTCACATCTGGTGGCATGCATAAGTATAAGTATGTATGCGAAATTCGTGAATTTCGCGTTTTTCGTGAACAAAGTGGGCGGCGTTGGCTCCTGAAAGAGGAGACATCCATGTATAGCAGAGGATTTCCCTTTATCCTTTTTTAATATACGAAAATTACACGTTAGATCGTAGGTATATGGTGCCCGTACTTTGGCGAGGGAGGCATATTATATGTGTGCCGCACAGTTGTCATCAGCAACGAGCCCCTTTGTACATTAGCTTTTGTTCGTTTGATGCGAGAGCCTCCGTTGTGTGTACAAGGTTTTGGTGTGGGGTCAACGATCGTAGGACGTCGGGAAAGGATGTTCCTGGTTATTGCTCGTTTGATGATGTATACGCGTATACCCGCGCACATATTAATACTATCACTGGCGATGGGACTAATTGCTTGGCGTACAATTTTTTTTCTGTGTTTTCTCTTCCTCTCGGCCCCTCATACGAGTCAAAATAAGTACCTGTACTCTGCTCTATTTCACTTGCATCAACAGCGTACACCTACAAATGTGCAGCTCAAAATCTAAATCGACCCATTGCAAGAAGATTGAAAAAAAAAAAAAAAAAAAAGGGTGGAGGATCAAATGAGCGGGGATCACTGCAGTTGAGTACTTACAATCTTCCCCCCTCATCAGCTAAACGTAAATAATTCCTGCAGTGGCCGCACAGCCGTATACCTATACGTATATGTAGGTACACGCACACCTAACGCGCTTCCCTCGCGTATTTAGGTATGCATACGTGTACGTTGTGCCTCGTCTTTTTCACACGCGCTTCCGGTGCTCTTCTATCTCTCTCTCCTCTGCCTCGCATTCAATTTAATGTGCTCGCCCGCGAAGCCGCGCCAACAGCACCAATACGAGTGTACCTATATGTTACATACATATGCCAGCCTATCGCGCGTATATATACGTGCATGCACGCCGAACCTGTGGCTGGCTGCTTCTTCGTCGTCGTCTCTTTCATTCCTATAGGCGAAGATGTATATATATACACGTATATACGTATGGGTTACATAGGTACATAAATACATAAACGTACAACTAAGCGCAGTGCGCTTTTATCTTATCACTCATCGGGGTAATTAAGCCTGGAAGAGAGTAGTATGTAGGTATGGAGTCTAGGGCAGGCATGGGATAGATTTTTCTCTGTTCGTTTATACATGTATATGCATATAAACCCACAGCGCGCGGGAAAGTGCTAATGTCGAGGAGGAGGAGGAAGAGTGTGGAGCACCCTTTTATAAACTCGCTGCGTACTTGATGGGTCTAGGTACAATATATTTATATTGTGTGCGTGCCACGGGCTCGGGAAAACGTTGACTGAGCCAGTCCTTATGGCGTTTTACCTCTATATCTACGCGGGATCCGGTGGTATCATGGGTCGGTATTGTAAAAAGCGAGTAAAAAGTAGGTATGGGTGTTCACTGGAGTCTAGTGGCTGTACAAATGAATTCCAAAGGAGCAGAAGTGTGATTGTTACAGAGGGCTGCTGTTTAAATGGATTCAAATGCGATTGCATAAAGCCATCATTTGGTTTAGCGAATCAATAGAGAGACGATAAAATGATACCTTCACGTCTTGTTTCACTAACGGGATAAGTAGGGGTAAACGGTACAGTTATTGACACCTTTAGGTAGTGATTGACCCCTGTATAATTTGTATATCTCTATATAAAGGCTTCATTTAAAAATGCATGTGACGGTCAATCACTATCGGTGGGTCAACAACTGTACCGTTTACCCCTACCTGTGGTTTTCAATATCCCTACTCTAGAGGTGTTGACTATACTTTGCTAAATTTATCTTACCAAGGAACAATCGTATTTCAAATCGAGTGCTGAAACATTGAAATCGGAGTATGATATAGACGCAGGGACCGTGTAAGGCGAAACAAGAAAATTATTAATATTGATAAGAATTACAACACCTGGATACCAATATAAAACCAAGAGCCACATACTACACAATTTTTTTTTTCCTTGCGCGTTCGCACAGCCGATATTTATCGCCATCTCTCCTCCGCGATGAGCGTATAGTTACTTTCCATTCTTCGTCCAATTACAATTATTGTGTCCATTGTTCTTCGAAACCAAGTCGACGGGAAGTAAGTATATAGGCTTGATCTTAATTTCTCCCGACCTTGAAAGTTTTTTCTTCTTCTTTTTTTCTAGATCACGACCCAATTTGCAAGCCCACCGTATTATTTATCTTTCACCAGTGAAATCGAGTCGCGAAAATAATATACTCGCAGCTCGTCCCGCGATTCTTTTAAACTAAACAAACGCAAGCACGTTCAGGGTATTGTGAAGAGTGACAAAAAAATCCAGGCGCGCTCAAAAGATCAAATGAAAAGGGTGTGAGAATTTTTTTTTCTTCTTTTTTTTTGGCAACGGTGTTGCACGCGCGCCTTTACATACACACCCACTCACGTATAACGCGTAAGTATAGGTGCAATAAAAAGAGTTTTGCATCCTGCATTCAACCGCATCGGATCACTTCCGCCGCAGTGAAGCGGCCTTTTACTCTCCTTTTATATGCCGTATCCTATATACGTGTACACATCACACGCTCGCGCTCATTCGTGCCACTAAGACTAGTTGGTATGTGGATAGTGTTTTTAATCTACCTAGCTTTCAGGAAAAAAAGGCAAGTGCTCTATCAACATTCGTCGCCGTAAATTTTTTTTCTTTCTTTTTTTTCTTTTTTTTCCCACGTACGTACAATTGATCAAGCTGAAACAAATTATTTTTTTACATTTCAACGAATCTTTGTGTGAGTAAAATATACCTTTTTCATTGGTACATTCAATGAAAAAAAAACTGTCACTGGACCCCCTCGAGCGCAAACTCCTTGGGCGTACGAAAATTCCAACTCTGGCCGAACTAAATCGCTGAAAATTGCATAAATCCCCGTGTATTTAGCAACGAAATCCCAAAGCCGTTTTCTACGGGTAAAAGTGCGCTCTATTTAATTACAATGAAAGTAACGAAACACAAGAGCCCGAGACGAAAAAAAAAAAAAAAAGCTACTGCTACCATTGTCATGAACGGGAGGTGCATATAATAACGGGGAGTTTTCCGTGAAATAGAAACAAAAGCGAGAGAGAGAGAGAGAGAGAGAGAGAGAGCGTGTCACGGGAAAAAAGGGCGGAGTGGTCGGGGAAAATAATAGAGCTCTCGCTTTTCCCGTTCGCGCATACGCTCCGCGCGCGTGCACATCTACAAACTCGCGTGCGCTGAAAGGGGGAGTTTTTCAATTTTTTTTTTTTTTTTTTTTTTTTATGTGTCACTTGCTCCCCGCGCTTGCCCAAAGAGAGAACTCATTCTTCAGCAACAACCGCGAATCGCTTCGGCAAACATAAATGTTTTCTCTTTTTCGTGACAGGATGGCGAGGGGGAGGGGGTGGAAAAGCCGATAGCCAATCCATTCTTTATACGCGCGTGGACCCCTGACGCGTGTGATGAACAGCGCTTTTTTTTTGATGATACGTGCAGGTGTATGAAAAGCCCGTCGGAGCTGCTGTAGAGCCACGGATATGGCGATCGCCGAAAAATTTTCTGAACAGAAAAAAAGGCTCGTTTAATCGCAAACGCGTGCAATGTTGTTGAATGGATTCTTTTATTTCGGCTCTGTACTCTGTACATAATACAAAGTGCCCTCGTCAATTGCAAAAGCTTTTCTACAATTGTTGCACATTAACGATCGTTAAACAACCAACTACGAGATATTCCAGAGATAACACTCTCTCTCTCTCTTGATGAAAAGATTACGGGTTTTTTTTCACATTGACGTGGATATTATTTTCTAAACTCTGTGTATACTATGCACTTTCCAATAAATTGTTTCGTCATTAGATTCACCTCGCACTGGGTGGATGTATCCAATTATCACTGCACGTGAAAGCTGAGTGCAGATCACCTGCAAAACCAGGACATTATATGTCAAATCGTTACCGTCAGCCATGCAAAATGAATGTACGTCCTCCTCGTCTTTCCATTGAAATGTATGCGACTGTATTTTTATATAACTGTACGCTCAATTTGCAGCGAAGAATAAGGAGCGAGGCATGATTTTCACATCTCATTGTGTCTTTCGCGAACGGCGCCTCCTTTTCCTCCTCTATGCTATCACGGTAAATTACAGATTGTCAGTACAAGTATATGGTTGCTCCATCAGTCGAATTTTCCGCGTCTGCAAGTGCAACGGTATAAGCTGCTACCTTTGTATACCTAAACCCATTGCGGCGCTGTATCTTTTTTTTCCCCAGTAAGCACGCAATTGACAACTGCCATAACAGTGCACAAGGATAATTTTTTTCCTCTCTTCCTCCCCCGAAATTGCCGTAGTTGTCGTCGGAGTTTCGGGAAGAGCCTCTTTGTCCTTTTTTTTTTTTTTTCATCGCTTGAGAGAGAGAGAGTTTCCGAGGCGAGCTTCCTCTCGTCGAGTTCTCGTTTTCTCTATTTTTCCGCGCCTCTCTCGTATTTCGTGCTCTTTTGTTCACTCGTTTGTTCGACAGCATAATAATGCCATGTTTACAATGTACACTTATACTCGACAAATGAGAATAGGAGGATCCAACGTATGCAAAACAAACGTCAATTTTCAAATGCTGCTGATCACTCGGAGTCACCAAAGGAAAGATACAGCTATTTACGCTCATTGAAACATGGATCTTCAATGTTACGGTGTTCGGGCTGTCCCTCTAATAAATATATCTCGCTACCGTGAGCCCGGCTAGGCCACGGGAAAACGGGGAATCTAATATGCAAAATTCGCCCCTGCGTTGTGCGTTGATGCATCGGTATATAAGCTACAAGGTGTGATGCAGCTGGAGAGGGAGAAAAAAAAGGAAAAAACAAGCTCCCCAGGAGGGTCAAAAGAGAGGAGAAACGCACAAGTGCAGAGCCGAAGGAAACATTTAGAGTAAGCCCGCGTGCAAGGAACTCGCGTCGGCGGAGGAGGAGGAAGCGGGCGAGTGTAATAAAGCCTCTTACTTCGGAGCCTCGGCAAAGTTCGCGTACGCATGTAATACAAATGGAGCCACTCATGGCCCTGCTCTCGAATATCGCAAGTGCTCGAAATATACCTACCCACTCGAGCCTCGACGATTTTTCTCTCTTCCTCCCCCCCGAGGATTCGCCGTCGCTCTCTCTCTCTCTCTCGAGTTTTTTGCCGGAGATTATTTTAGCCCGCTTTGCGGAGTATATATGTATGGCTATGACACCCGATTAAATTCATCGGCACAGCTAGCAACTGCGATCTTTACAGGAGAATAGGTGAACGTCCATTGTTAGCACTCGTTTTTTTTTCCATTCGGCTCCACTCTGGATCGCAAGAAGAGTATACATCTCGATCACAAGTACAAGTACTACCGGTAGTGCGTATCGATTGGCCGGCGAGTCAATTACTCATCTGCAGCGCTATGTGTAGCATATGTGTGTGTGTTGTGCTTTTGCACGGGGTTAAAATATCACGGGTATAGGTGTATAATATGTAATATAATCTAGGCAAGGGCCGAAAATACGGAAGGGAGACCATCACCTTTGTTTGCGATGTCAATCAGACAAATGAGCAATCATCGAAAAAGACGTGTCATACCATTTGCTACATATGTTGAGATTACACCACCTCGGACAGCACACCTGCACTACTCTCTGCGATTAATCGAGTCCTTGCCTCCTCTCTATACCTATTATGTATTATCTGCGAGTCATCGGCTCCAAAGCCCAACGATCCAACAACACAGAGGAGACGGAAGCGGAGAGATCCATGCCAATGTGTATATATACGTATAAGAAGCTGAGGAACAGCAAAGGAGAGATATACACTTACATGCTCCGAATATTAATTATCTAACGCACCAGCTTGGAGGTGCGCGCGACAACTCCTCCCCCCCCCTCCTCGTCGTGCAAAGTACTTGCGCTGTCTGTTATTTGGGACGCTTGTCACTTCGTGGGAATAGCAAAAGAAGCGAAAGGGATGTATAGTTATTGTGCGGTACGTATGTATAATTATTGTACAAAGCCTCTGTGCGGATCTCGGCTTGAGATCGGCGATCGGTAAGCCGAGCCCGGCCGCGTGAGCGACGGTCCGTCAGTGTCGGTAGGACTCTATAATGACGGACATCTTTGTCGGAGCTCGGTTTTCTCACCTGTGCATCACGCTCCGCTCAATTGCATCTTTGTGCATTTTATTTCAGCGCGAGGAAGAGATATGATCGCGACAATCGGTAATTTGTGCTTCGCGTGTATCGTACGTTCATCGATATAGAGGACGGCTCTAGTAAACGCATGACTGTATATACGCATAACTATTAGATGTATACATTATAATTTAATTCTGAACAGGTGGGTGGTTTTTCCATTTCATGCGATGGAAAATACTTGGAAAATCTTGAGCGTGTAAAACCCACACCGAACAATCCTCGCGACAAACAACGAGCGAATTTTCCTGCAGCAGTTCACTCTTGGCGATTGATGAAAAAAAAAAAAAAAATATGCCCTGCGGCCTCGCGAGAAGAAATGCACGAGCGTTAATAAGCTACGGGGTGGGAGAGGGGGCGCGTACAGCTGCCGTGCTCCCTTGTTTTTTCTATCGCCTAATGCGAATAACCTCTCGAGTGGCCACGTTTTTTTTCTTCTTGCCCAGAACTCTCTTTTCTTGACTTTTGTTTTTCAATTTGAACGTAATTTTTCTCGAGTTTTTCTTAGTCCGCGGAAAAGTGCATTTAATTATACGCTCGGTCAGAGGAGTACGGTGTCTTACTTCTCTGTTTGGGGGCAACTAGAGGGAGGATGTCCATCGTGGGCGCTTTGCGCGCACATGTATAAACGCATTCGGAGCGACCGCGAGAGTGCTCGTTCCCTTTATTCGTTTGCCCCGAGGCGGACAAGGTTTTAACGAGCTTCTTTCTCTTTGGAGGATCGAAAAATGAAATGAAAAAAAAAAAGAGTGCAACAGGGTTTTCCGCCCTGATAATTTAATCTAATTGAAGAGGGTAATTAATTGCGAGATTAATTGCGTTTCGAAACTCTTTGAGGCTGTTATTTAAGTACCTAGTTTCCTTGTAAATCATTGATGCGCCGTTGGCTGAGCGAAAAGATACTTACGGTGTTTATCGGCAAAAATTTACTACGCCTGTACCTATACGCAAATGGTTAAATTTTTACTGCTTGAAAAAAATTTAATTTAATGAAATTTTACCTAAACGACGTAATAGCCTCTTTTTCCTTAGCGTACAATACAGCGATATATGGGAATTTAAAATTTCGCACCATCATACAGTATATTCAAACAATACTATCAACCCGTCCATGAAACTGCCTCTTTTTACGCCCTTCGGTCTAACTTGGCAACCCTTTAGCGTCCAATCCGCCTCGACAGAGCACCCCTCATTAGCGCATAACATAATACTTATGAAGCACAAAATGTATCGATAATTGCATACTTATATATACGTACAATAAATTAATAATGATGGTAAAAATAATAATGATGATACCACATAGTAACGAGGAAACGCGTTCGGTTGTTATTGTTTCAGGTTCCCTGGGCACGTCGGTCTTCGACACGGACGTGTACCTCGTGGGCGCGAGTGGCGGCGTGTACGCCCTTTTGGCCGCCCACCTTGCCAATGTGCTGCTCAACTACAACAACATGGAGTTTGGCATCGTCAGGCTCATCGGCATCTTCATTATCGGTTGGTTTACTCTCTGCATCTGTACATATCTGTATCCCCTCTACCCTGCGAGTGTGCCATATATACGGCGCTTCTTCGAGTGCTGTTCCCCGATAATGATGCTACTGATTGCTTTCGAGTGGTTCGAAGCTGCAGTTCAAGGGGTTTTGTGATTTACGTGGTTTTCCTTTGAATCTCTCAACTCGGGGAGTTTTTTTCAATTTCAAGTTTTTTTCCATTTACTTTTTTATATATTAATCTATCAGATACGTATAGTTCGATGATTCATAGCAATTTTTACACACGATTTCGGTGCAACAATAAAGATACTAAATCCTTAGAGCTATGTGTTACATAGAACACGTTATACCTACCAGTCGTACTTTTACTCCATTCCAAATCTTTAGTACAGAAAGCGTTGAGACCTTGGGTCATTAAAATTAATTAATTGTAAGCTTAATATTTAATTGTACATACTTATTTCATAATTATATACTCAAAAATACCTTTTTCCCCTCTTCTACGATTACAATAAGTAGCCATGAAACTCGTTTGACTCAACACGAGTCGTTACACACATATACATAGAAGAGAGTCCCCGTAAACGTGAACTTTTCAACACGCATATAACGTGATCGTCAAAGCTATCCTTGCATATATATATATACCTCTCCGTTACCGTGCTCGCGCTTTTTACATTTTTCACGCTCGCACGGTACACTTCCTACGCTGGCCGCTAGAAAAAAAAGAGAGAAAGAGGAATTGCGTTTCCACCTGAACTCTCCCGGAAAATATAGCGAAAAATAATTTCATTTTTCCCCACACCCACATCGTTGATTAATAGCGCGGGGAAATTAAACCTCGAAACTTTGCTTTTGAAAAAAACTATGTCCTCCGCGAAAGGGTGCGTCTTTGACAAAAAAAGGCACTCGTCGCTCGGGGAAACGAAAAAACACTTTGCCCATCGAAAATAAGATCTCGTATATATATATATATATATCAATCATCTTTCCCTCGATTTTTGATGCGCGCTATCGCGGACTATATATATTTTTTTTGTTCCATCCCCCGAAACTTTTAATTAAAAGATAAAGGAGAAGCGCCGCTTTTCCGATTCTTCCAACTGGCGAGCATCGAGCGCTTACTTTGGCTCTCTGCTGACGCTGCGCCTGTGAGAAAAGGATGGATGGCATCGGTTTTAAAACGGAAAGAAAATGCGTATTTTTTATCGAGTCGAGGCTTTAACGAAGAAACGTTTTCACTCAACACTCGCTCGTGTGCTTTCTTTTTTTCATTCAATCCTTCCAACTGCGGACTTTTTCTTGTTTTTCAGAACGCGCGCGCGTTGACGGTTCTATTAAACATTTCTCCTTTTTTTAATTATTCAACACTCCTAGTCGGCGCTCGAATAATTTTTTTTACTCCATTTTTTATTTTTTTTATTTTTATGTTTCAACGCGCTGTAGGGACACGCTTCAAAGCGAAACTCTTTGAAGTTAACTTTACGGGCGCTCTTGTGCGCGCGCCTCTATATCTCTTTGCTCTGAAATGAAATTTTTTTTTCTTCTTTTCCTCGAAAATTAAACCATTTATGAGTTTTTCCGATTTTACGTGACCGTGAGATTGTTACGATAAACTCGTCGATGTGCGTTATTCGCGGTTGGCAGCTGCGCAAAATAAACACCATCGTTACCGCGCTGACAAAAAGAGAGAGACAAGAGCCAAACCAGGTCGAGCCATTAACATTCTCTAACCAAATCAATAAGACCCTCTCGTTCGACACGTGCACCGTGCCATCGTGAATGAGAACGTAATTATACATAAATCTATATTTATGAGCCACTCCGATTTTTTCGATCGCTCATCACGCGCGTTTCTACTTGAATTATCCCAAAGCCCACGTCCACCGACGCGCAATTTTCCATCCCCCGTTAATGATGGCCAGCGCGCGCGTGTTTGCTCGCCCGCTTTGGTAATAAGTGACCCTCTTTTGCTTTTTTGAACATTTTTCGCGGAATAATGCCCCCCTGCCCCACCCTTCCCCGAGTTTAAAGCATCACTAGACCGGTGTAAAACGTATTTTCCCATTGCGGGTATGTGTGTATATAAAGCGGTGTCCGTTTCGCGGAATCGTTTGCTGGAGAGAATAATTAAAAAACTTTTGTGGGGCTGAAACACTTGGCACTGACTTGCGCAAAACTTTGAGCCACCCTTCGCTGTGCAGAGGAAGATGCATAAGGGTTGCTCATTAACTTTTCCGTTGAGTCCGAGAAAAACAGTACAGCTGACGATCGGACGCAACTGCGAGTCAAAGTTTGCGAACCTACAGCTCGGGGATGCCGTTCTTACGAGTATCGTGTACCTATTTACGCACTTTTTGTTAAAAAAAGTTGCGATTTTAATTATCCCAATTACTAAAAGACAAAACAAAATGTCCATACCTCCTTCTTTCAAAGTGTCTCTTTCACACGTATAGGAAAGACAATAATAACAGTTTAATAAAATGTCCATTCAAATTGAGGGTGACAAAAAAATGGCCTACGGAACTTTTGAAGCTAAAAACGTTGTGTCCTTGCGAATCCTCGTGACTTTTTTTTATTCACTTACACCGTATCGGGTTCCGCACTTTCACGCGTTTACCAGAGAATGGTTTTCCATTGGGGGGGGGGGGGAGAGAAAAAAGAAAATTGTACAACTGTCACTCGCAGGACGAATTAAAAGAGAAGATAGCGGAAGGGAGGGAGGAAACGGTTTTACAACAGCGTAGCAGTACCCCGACACCTCGATCCATTTGTAAAACAGCTGCAATTGAAAGCCGGGATAAAAAGCCAGCAGCAGAGACGAGCAGAGAGAGAGAGAGTGAGTAGGAAAAATAAACAAAACAAAAAAAAAAGTCAAGGGTGGCAGAAGAATCTTTCCGCGTTTGCTTTAAAAATACACCCTTTCTCTCCGCACCTGATTTATTTCCGAGCAATTCACTCTCTTTCCCTCGTATCCCGTATATGTACTTACGTGCGTTCGTAGTATACATTGCGGTAGTAGTAGTCGTACCTCCTCTACTAACTTATCCGACGACCAAAAGGTTCCTCGGTTTTTTTCGGTTTTCTCTCTTTCGACACCTCGTGGCGCTGCTATACTATATATACTGACTACTTTATACACTTTGTTTCACTGTTTCTTCTTCTTTTTTTTTTATTTAGTTTGCAATGGGTACTCGTATAAGAAACTAGATTCGATGTTTGTGTTTTTAAATCTGTACCGACTGTATTTATACTTTAAGGGGTGATTTTCTCTGAAGGGGCCATTTTTTTCTTACTAGCTATTACAATTGTACCTTAAAAAATATTCTAGACTGGTAGAACCATTGCACTCTGATGGATTAATTAGTGTATCTATAAGATTTGTACTTCTGCACTTGGTTGTTTCCTCTTCGTCGCGCAAAATCTCATTAATAACGCGTGGCTACGAAAAAAAAAAAAAATTTCTTTCCTTTCAACCAAAAACTGTATACAACTACTCGCTGCTTTTCATATCCTCGTGAATCTCACTTTGCAAATCCAAGCATTCACCTATACCCATGTTATTGTACTCATACAGAAATGTCGTTCTGTCATCCCGACGAATCTCTCGCTCTCCTTGTCATTATTACGTCCCACATATTATTATGCATACATACACGTGTGTACTGCACCGACTTGAGGCATCTTCCTACACACATATTTATGTACACGTGTGTTTCTTTGTGCCCTACGGATGTATAAGATAAATATATACTACTTTCTCTGCCCCCCCCCCCCCGTCACCTTTCCCTCGGCGTTTCTTTGTGCACTTGCGCCTCCTTCCTCTCTCTCTTTTCTCTTTTTTAAGCGCGAAATTCTCTTGTAATTTTCAAGGAGTTGCTTCTCATTAGACCACCTGTGTATATATTTATATGGGGGAGGGGAGTTGCAATAATATTCCAATGACAATAAAAAAAAAAAAAAAAAAAAAAAAAAAAGAATGATAAACGTTGTGTTTTTCAGCGAGCTTCGACGTTGGCTTTGCGATCTACGACAGGTACGCGGCGGAGCACATGCAGCTGGGCCTGCCGGTCTCGTACGTGGCCCACTTGACGGGGGCACTGGCCGGATTGACGATCGGCCTGCTGGTACTCAAGAACTTTGAGCAACGCTTGCACGAGCAGCTGCTCTGGTGGGTGGCCCTGGGTGTCTACGCGGCCTGCACGATATTCGCCATCATGTACAACCTCATGCACCCGGACTACCCGCGACGCGAGGGCCCCGGGGCCTTTGCCTACGGACACCAAGCCCTGCAGAGGGCGGCCACGTAACAGACCGAAGCCGGAGCCACGCGCTTTTGCTTCTCCTTCGCTGACGCCTGCACTCGCCGCGCGGAGGGGCAAGACGTCGACAACGACGGCGCTGATGTCCCCGTTACGCGGCAGCGAGACCACGAGAGGGTTGCTGTAGCCGCCGGGTAGTGTTCCTAGGGTGTCGCGCTCTGCTCCGCCCCCTCGCGAGCTTTTTGTTTCTTCACACGTATGCCAAAGATTATTCGCGTTCCGATGGGCATGGAGCTTTTTCACTTGCTGCGCAATATTGTTTATTTATATTCCTTTTGCTCGAGTCCGATTGTATAAATACTTGCTACGCGTCACGTGCAAAGGGGATGCGAGAAGAGCAGCGCGGCCATGCAGCGGCTTCGACCGGGGGAAGGAAGGGCAGGCGAGCCCACAAGACTGACTATTGGTACTGGAGAAGGTTGCGTGTGTGAAAGGGGGGAAAAATTAAAAAGAAAAAAAAAAAAAAAAAAAAAAATACGATAGATCCGAAAATAAAAACATATTTTTCTGTACGGCCCTGTTGTAAATATTGTACAGTTGCAAGCGATCCGATTGGAGTGTGCGTAGTTGTGTTTTGGTCTTTTGTGTAACCCTGCGAGGGGCGCGTCGTTTGCTTTGTTCAACGCTTATCATTAACGTGCAAAAGAAGGTACGACGAGGTGAAATTTAATCTGAGCTTAATCGTCGCTCTTGGTTTTTCTTGCCTCGTCGGGACCGTCGCGCGATTTTTCAATGCGCCGAGCAAAAAACGCGAAAAATATCCATCAGCGCGCTCCGTTGAATTTCGCTTCGGTTCCTCCCCATCACCCGTTGTACATGGCAAACAAACGAAACACATGAATACTCAAAGACGAGTAATTGGAGTCCATTTCAAGGTATACGGTAGAAATTTGATTTCGCCGATGCTCGTACCGTGACTCGAGATTGTTTTTTTTTTTTTTTTTTTTTCGCGAAACAAAGAATCGACTTTTCAGGAGCAGCAGCTCTTTGCTCGTCCTCCAGAAGAGCGCGTATGTATATGCCACCCTACCCGGACACAATTAACTCCATTGTAACGTGCGAGTTGTGTGTGTGTTTTTTTCTGTTCTGTTTTGTATTGTACGAGGGCAAGAAAAAATACCTTTACTGTGTTCTTAAGTTATGTTGTGTCGTTTGATTGTCCCAGTGTCCGTGTGTATTTATTCAAGTGAAAGCTTTGAAGGGAAGGGTCTCCGGGAAAAAGCTCGGGCACTCTTGTGGCGCGGCTGAAAGCTCGACCTCTTTGTTGTCGTTTGTAATTGCGCTTTTTCTCCGTGGCTATTCTTTTTCTTCTTTTTCGTGCATCGGCGTTAATTCATGGCAAATTAAAAGGTTCATTCTTGGGCGACAATTTTTTTTTTCTTCTTTTCTTGAATACAACTGTTCTACGGGCTTCTGAAAAAAGACAATACGATACTCGATGACATTTTTTCACAATTTTTTTGTTTCCTTTCTCAGAAGAAAGAGCCTTTGAAAAAAGTAATCGCGATCAGGCCCGAGCTTTTTCGAACGCACTCGTGGATAAAAAACAAAACAAAAAAGGGAAAAAAGAGAAGACAAAATAAAGCTGGGATACAGCGACCCACGCACAAGATATTAAAAAAGAAAACGCGTGATCGGGCGATAGGAGGGGGGGTGGAGAAGGAACGAAGAATGTGAGAGGACACCGATGCAGAGAGAGACGTGTACACACATATAAATGTACCCCCACATTTATGAACGATGCTAGTCAATTAGTGTACCCTGCAAGGGGTGGGTCTCTCGGAAAGGCACTCGCTGCGGGCAGCAAAAGAGACGGAAGCGTCCTTGTCCCTGTCTCCCTCTTTCCCTCCGCTGTATCTTTTTGAGAAAACACCACGATGTACAGCATAATACCCCGCCGAGGAGGAGGTCGCGCCTTAACGTGGGTGTAACATCAAGAGGCGTAATTATGCGTGAATAATTAAATGCGATATACTATTATTATTATTATTCCCTCTGCTTCTCTGTTACGGGAGGAAGCAAGTATACTTGGGCGTTATTTTCCTCTAATGCAATGACGAGCGACTGCTTGTGTATATACACTCTGTTGTTTTTGTCCAATCGCGCAAAGTTACTTCAAGAGGGAGTAAGCATATAATATATTGTACAAAATGGTCTCGCTATCTCGCTTTGCTTTCGTCGTTCTCTTTTGCGCGAGTGATGTGTCTGTACCTATTATAAGTACGGGGCAATGAAAACAAATAGACCGAAAACCCCAGTCAAAGTCTTGAATTGATGATTAAATCGTAAGTACGTCTGTTTTAAGGCTGAAACTCTGTATTACGTTTATGTACTATTTATGTTTAAGTTTAAGGAATAAGTGAAGTAAGAGAAGAAAAAATAACAATACGAAAGCTCGTCTCGGTTGAAAGATCTGTGAAACATTGTTTGTATATATCTGTCATGTGAAAAGTGCGTTTAATGATTTATTTACTTTTCTGTTTGCGTTAACTGTTAGTTTGGTCGTTTGGTTTTAATCACAAAAATGTGTTTGCATTATCTATAGGGATCAATAGAAAGTAAAAAAAAAAAAATTGGAAAAAAAAGAAAAAGAGAGTCCAAAAAGTTCCTGGTGAGATGTATTTATTTAATACTTGGAGAAAAAAAAATCCACTACTCGAACAATCATGCTGCGAAATGAATGTATTCCGCTAGTGCTTATGTATAGACATGTAAGGAGAACAATTATATAATATATAAAGACAAAAAAAAAATTTGGATATTTCTCAGAAAATATTTACAAACAATTCCGGATCGAGAGCGTATAAATGTGTACACGAGCGAGTGATCGATTACTGCGCATCGCATGCATTAGGATCTTCGACAAAAGTTTTAATCTAAATTATTGTCAATAATTTTAATGTGTATTATGTAGAATCAATATTTTGTTCAACTTTTGTCTCAATTGGTCGATAGTTTTATCGATATTTTTTTTTCAAGTCCAACAGAAGATTTTAATGGGTGCGATTATCTTACCATTTAAGTATATAAAATATATGAGAAAAACCAACAAATTAAACGAAGAAAAAAAAGAAAGAAAGAAATGTATAGATGTATACATATATAAATAAATAAATACGCATAATATATATACATATATTTACGGTCAGTCACGAGTCCACAAGCCAAAGAAGTGGAGCTAGTAAAAGAAAAAGACGAAACAAAAACGTTTCCATAGTTTATCGTGTTAAACTCAACGATAATTCCTCGCTAGGCTTAATTCGCGTGTACAGTTGCAAAACGAAAGCTCGAGTATCGCTGGACGAAAATTCAGCGGCAGCTGATGGGAGAGAGGAGCGCGGACGCGGGGAAAGAGTCTTTGTACTTCGATGTCACATCGGTTCTCGAAATGGAGAGTAATGGAAGCCTATACTATTTGTTTTGTTTTGGCACAGACGCCAAGTGCTTATATACATATATACATAGTATACATACTTAACTTACAAATTTACTGTAAATCAAGAATAAACGAACGAGATGTCAGTATTTTTTCAAATCTCCTCGAGTATTAATTTAGTACTGTACTTGTAAAAAATTTCTCAAGCGAAAATAAAGCGTTATAGGATGGCGTATGTTTATCTCTGGTGCGAATACTTTGGTGTCAAATTTTGCGTGGTGAGTTTGTGAGAAAAAAAAAAAAAAAAAAAACATAATTAAGTAAATAAAAAATGTCAAACAACCAATACAACTTTTTTCGAAAATGTATGAGCAACAGAGATTTTTTGTGAAACAGATGAGCAAAATAAAATCGAGCGATGCACCAAACAGAAATGACTCCATTATTCTTATTAACAAAAAGTGAGATATGATTCCAGATCACTTAAATAAAATAATGCGCCAAATTGCCTTGCGTTTTCCATTTGTGAACAAAGTGGTGAGAACACAAAAAAATAATAAAAATAAAAAAAAAAGAGTAAACGAATGGCGTGCGTGTTAAGAGTCGCATTTACCAAATACACTATTTAAGTAACGGTACGTTCCCTTTTAGCGATTTATTATAATTGATGTCGTTCATATGATAACTTAAGACAAAGTTTTTTGATCAGAAAGCTCCGTACTGCCAGCGAGAATGTACTTTTTCTTGAATATAACAAGTATAAATTCGTTATTGTAATAAATGACAAAAAAAAANGCACCGCTAGATGGCGCTGATCCAAAAAATTATTACTATACTTATGGTAGAGCCATTTAATTAATTATAAACCAGCCGCAACTAATTTTGGAGATAGTAAATAATAAGTTGACATTTTGTGTGCTATTTGCGGCAAGTGTGCAATATATCTTTTACCCGAAAAACGACCAAATAATTCTCACAGTACAGCCATGTATAATTGATGTAATCGATTATAAACCAGCCGCAACTTGTATTGTAGCTATTTAATTATTATAAAACTTTGTTTATTTATTCATAAAAATAGACGGTTCAAACAACATCTCGGCACCTAACTTACCCACATAACAATATTTCTTCAGTATAAAAATAACTATACAAAAATTAAACAGTCTATGTACATGTTTACTATTGGGTAAGTCAAATGAAAAGGTTTTCCAAGCTTATACTGCATACATCATGTTCGTTGGTTTTTTTAACAATTTTTTTTGGCAAAACTTCAAACTTACAGTCAGTCATCTTATACTTTTCACAAAATGTCTCGGGAACAGTGTTAAAACGTTTTTCAAGAAAACCATAAACGTCACTCCTTGTCTTGAGAACATTAAACACTTGTTTTTCTTGTTTTGTCAATACTTTGTCCAGCATAAAAACTAAATGATGATGCATACACATAAAAGGGGTACCCATGCTTGATGTTATATCAAGCCAGTCTTGTACACACTCAACAGGAGTGCTCGCGGACCCTGAAAACAAGGCAGGATTTGCCAACAGTGCACTGGCAACCATAACACCATTGCATTTGGAGTCTTTATACAGATTCACGGCATCCTTGAGACTCCTAACATTTCCATTAGCTATAACTGGTAATTGTACAGAACTCCTAACAAGTTTCAAACTTTCCAAATCAATAGGTTCATTCCTCATGTCCGGAGTCCTTGCATGAACCGTGACAAAGGACACGCCAGTTTTTTCCACAATTCGGCAGAGATCTATCGTTTTCTGTAAATCTTTTAATAGACGAATTTTTACAGAAACGGTAAAGGGCTGTGGTATCCTATTTCGAACTTGGTAAACCATGTCTTTGACAAGCTGTGGTTTGGTCAATAAATCAGCCCCATAGCCATCTTTCATGGCCCATCGTTGAGGACAGCCACAGTTCAAATCAACACCATCGGCGTAGCTGTTAGAAGTTGAAACAATTTTTTGGTAAGCCCAAAACGTGTTTTTTAATGTTGAGTACATAATAATATACATACGGCGCAATGAGTTCTGCAGCTCCAACATAATCATCTACCTCGTTGGCAGCAAACTGCACGACAAGCGGCCTGTCGTCTTTGCTCGTTGAAAATTCGCTGTCCCGTGCCTTTGACGACTGAACGAACGCGTCGGCAAGGATCATCGGGGTGAAGCAGAGGTCACAGTCGTACTTTCTCATCAAAGTACGAAACGGTAGTCTGTAAGAAAATTTTGATTTAATACAAAACAAATGAACAATAGCCAAGGGATTTTTCATTCAAGAAATTATTTGTTTGCTTACTTGCTGTACCTCACCATTGGAGCACACACTTTGGTCATCTGTGGCTCCGTCAACATGTCCAATATGTCGCGTGACATACCTATAATTACCTAAGCAATGAGTTATGAATGTTATTGATCCAACACTCAACTATAACACAATTTTTAAACACAAATTTACAGCCGCTGCGGTTCTAATTTAAAAAATTGAGTCGACAGTCAACACGCGCGCACATTTATTAGTTAGCAGACTACATTTTCCGCAGTGGTTGTGGGTTGCGGGGTTATTGGGTGGTTTGTCAGCGTTCCGCATCTTCCCCAACGCTGTCATGCGTATAGGCTGATGAGTTAAGGCTGTCGTGATACAAATAGAATTGCTTAACAATTAAGAAGCTCAATCAAATAAGTACACAATATGATTTCTTTTCAGCAACGAGAAATAACCTCCCGTATCCCTCACTCCTCCCGTGGCTCATAAGCTAATCTTATTCTGCAATCGTATTCCGCACATGGCCGGAGCCAGCAAAATATTTCTGCGGAAAATCGTCAGATTACGAGCAGCACCTTCTCGCGTTGCTGATTTCGAGTTAAAAAGTACCCCTAAAATAATTAAAACTCTCACACACTATTAAATTTTAGGCCAACAAATATATATGTATATATTAAGCGGATGAAAAAAGTAGACCAAAATTTTCTGACGTTTCCTGTCGTATTAACGACCGTCAATAAGCAAAACCAGGATTACCGGCATTCTACAATAGGTAAGTGCGATCCCTACTTAGTCGATAATACGCGCGCGCTCTACGAAACCCCCATAAAGTTTTCATTCAAACTATGATATTTTATCATTCTGGTAAAGAGAGCACGGTGTAAGATGTACGGGTAGTTATGTGTAGGAGTATAGTAATCACTACTAAGCAGTGCCATATGGTCGATTTATTAAACCATATAAGTAGAATATCGATACTTTTGGAGGACAATTTTCGGGTAAAAGATATATTGCACACTTGCCGCAAATAGCACACAAAATGTCAACTTATTATTTACTATCTCCAAAATTAGTTGCGGCTGGTTTATAATTAATTAAATGGCTCTACCATAAGTATAGTAATAATTTTTTGGATCAGCGCCATCTAGCGTTGCGGATTTTTGAACTAAAAAGTGGCCCTAGAATTCTCAAGGAGAGCTTTAGCGCTTAGAGACACTTAGCCCATTATAAACCAGCCGCAACTTGTATTGTAGCTATAAAACAAAAAAATAATTATACGTGTGTTTTTGGCGGCAACTTAACAATCTGTCTTTTACTCGAAAATTTATCTTCAAAAGTATAAACACACAGGAGGTCAATTATTTGGTAGAAAATATATTAGTAACTTGCCGCCAAAAACTCATGTATAATTATTTTTTCATTTTATAGCTACAGAATGAGTTGCGGCTGGTTTATAATAGGCTAAGTGTCTCTAAGCGCTAAAGCTCTCCTTGAGAATTCTAGGGCCACTTTTTAGTTCAAAAATCCGCAACGCTAGATGGCGCTGATCCAAAAAATTATTACTATACTTATGGTAGAGCCATTTAATTAATTATAAACCAGCCGCAACTAATTTTGGAGATAGTAAATAATAAGTTGACATTTTGTGTGCTATTTGCGGCAAGTGTGCAATATATCTTTTACCCGAAAATTGATCTCTAAAAGTATAGATGTTCTACTTATATATATGGTCTGTTGTGTTATGTTATGTATTGACATGAGGATATTGCAGGACCTTTTATTTATCCACTGCTAGTTTGTTTTTGTTACTTGCGCATGCATTTATAAAGTAAACAAATTGCAACATGACTATATGCATGTCTATTTACACATAAGCAGTTGTGTCAAAATCTTGTTTAGACAGCGATTTCGTATATTAATGTCTTTCATCCAACAACTTTGAAAAAATGTGCGCATCCAATTTAGAAAAAGCTTTTCAAATTCTTTCTAAGGAAGCCCAGGGTTTGTACTTAGTAACTACAGTGTTATTTGACTGTTATTTATTAATGATCCTATTTGTTTAAAAAATTAAAAAGCGTAGTGGAAATTATATTTTAAATATTTTAGAACTCTACTTGCCAACCCAAGTTGCCGAAATACAAGAGAATAATTTATCACCTTTAGAATTTTACAAAAATTACGTATCAAAAAATATACCAGTTGTGATAAAAGGTGGAATAAAGCACTGGAGTGCCATAGAAAAGTGGGGTATATCATACTTTAAACAAAAGATAGGCAACAAAGTAGTTAACGTAGCCGTGACACCTAATGGTTATGCAGATGCTGTATCTAAGGAAAGGATCTTGAATGGTTTTGGAGACAAAGAATATTTTGTAATGCCAGAAGAACGTTACATGACTATGAACTCATTTTTAGAAAAATTAGAAAATCCATGCGATAACAGTATTTATTATATACAAAAACAAGATTCCAATTTTGAAGAGTTTCATGAACTTTGGAAGGATGTCGAGAGTGACTTGTCCTGGGCATCCGAGGCTTTTGGTACAAAGCCAGATGCTGTTAACTTTTGGATGGGTGACCAACGAGCTGTAACTTCAAGTTAGTTCCTCGCACAATAAAAATATGAGTAAATATGTTTTCTTTGAAACTTCTCAGTGGTTCATTGACCAATGTTTTTTAGACCCTTTGATTACTTGAATAGTAAGTAGTAAGCACTATCCTCTACGTAATTCCGTTTGATTCTCAACTTTTCAACAGTGCACAAGGATCCATATGAAAATATATATTGCGTGATTTCTGGAGAAAAAGAGTTTACATTACACCCACCAACGGATCAGCCATGGATCCCCTACAAAGGGTATCCTTCTGCTTATTACAAAGAAATTGAAAAAGGAAAGTGGATTACAGAACCGACGAGCTCGGATTTAGATTTGTTTAATACAGAAGAAAATGCAGATTGTACAAAAACTGATCAGGATTCAGTATCATGGATAGCAGTTGATCCACTAAACCCTGATTATGATAAGTAAATAATAGAATGATTAAAATAAAATATTAATACAAAAATGTACGTTTATAGTTAAATGTTAATTTACAGGTATCCAAATTATAAAAAAGCAAAAAAAATAAGCGTCAGAGTTAACCAAGGAGATATTCTTTATTTGCCGTCATTATGGTTTCACCATGTAAAACAGTCACATGCTTGTATAGCTGTGAATTATTGGTATGACATGGAATATGACATAAAATATGCTTATTATAAATTTGTAGAAACTTTATGTAAATGATACATAAAAAGTGATGATTTATCTCTTTCAATAAAATGATATTTTTACAAACTTTGACATCTATACATTGAGTAAAACCTTGCATTATTAAAAAATTACATAATTTTAAACGGTAATGGAATTTCACGTGTACTGATTGCTAGATGAAAGAGCTTAAATCACATATTCATCAAGTTTTTGTCAAATTTTTCATTTTTTTTTTTTTTGTTCTTTTTTCGTAAAATACACATATTTGTAAATTTCTATTTATATAAATACTTGAATAATCTAAAAAAATTTTGCAGAGCTATTTATTGACAAATCCTTTTTATTTGTCACTTTTTCTTCATATGTCAATTAATTATCTCGCTCTCACACATGCTTACATCTCATTGTTTATTTGCGTGAAACGACTTCAAATTTATTATCTAAAATTCAAATATAGCCAAATCAATTAAAAATATTTCATAGATTAAAAGAGGTGGTAAGGTAATCGTCATCGCGGTGACGACGTGATGTATCAGGACTAATACAACCAGCCATCGTATCGATATCGATAGCACGCCGATCAGTCGGCCTCGTCGTCGTCCTGATCGTCGGCTAGTCGACCGGTTGAACAACGATAAGGACGCTTAGGCACTTGGATCTCTTGGAACTTACGATTTTCCATGTAGCGCCGGTAATTGTTGTCACGCTTTCGTCGTTGCTCTTCCGCCTGCTGGCGACGTCTTTCTGGGTTCATATGCGTCGTTACCATGTGTCTGGTCAAGGAGCTCGAAAATTTATATGTTATGCCACAAATATTACACGAGAGAACCTCTTCACTCTCTCCTTGCTGAAATTGAGTGTTATATTCGTAATTTTTAACAGATTATTTGAGAAAGGTAAATGGTTAAGAAAAATTGGTCGATTCATTACTTTTCCTTGCTGGTGTACCATCATGTGCCGCTGCAGATTATTCAATCGATTAAATTCTCGCCCACAAACTTCACAATCAAATTTTCTGTCAGGATCATGGTTCTTTTTATGGACATTCAAGTCATTGAGGTTTGAAAAGTTTTTCTGACAAATGTCACAAACGTGAGTCCTTTTTTCGCCAGCCAAATGCGATTGCTCGTGTTTCATCAGACTAGCCTTATCTAAGAATTTACGACCACAGTAAATGCAGGGCATAGGAAGGGAATCTGGATTGTGTATAGCTAAATGCTTTCTAAGAGTATTAGCTGTCGGAAAGGACTCGTGACACTCGAGACATTGGAACAATCGTCCTTCACTGTGAGTCCTACGATGACGAGCCAAGGAATTTTGATCAGCAAATCTATTAAAATGGAAATACATTCAAACTAGTTTTCTTCCTTGATACGCCCGACATTGGATATATTATAAGACAATACCTCTTAGGGCACAAGTCACAAGGAAAGTTCCTTGTAGTTATGTCTTCTTCACGAGCATGTTTCAGTCTATTGTGCCTGAGGAGCTGCAACGAAGTCTTGAACGTTTTATTGCAAATGTTGCACTTTGCTTCGGCAGGGCTCGGTATTATGACTTGTGTTCGTTTTTGGCCATGTTCATCTTCAGATATAATCAATGATATTGTAACTGTGTTATCGTCGTCATCTGGATGCCCACGCTGTAATAATCGTTTAAGGAATAATGTAATAAGTTTACTTCAATTGTTAAACAAACATATGTGGCAAATAATTTACTTTTTTCGTGTTAAAAGATTTAGGTTGTTCTTCAGGGATTACACAGTTATCTGCTTCAATCTGCTGATCTTCCTGAATTTGGGTCGGATCGTCTTGACTTTCTTGCTCATCACTACTATTTTCTGCAATGGCGTAATTACCGTCAGGGGTCAAATAAACAGGCTGCAGTTGGCCATGTTCGTTTTTGAAATATAATTGACCATCCTCATCTTCATGTAAGAAAATCTGATCTTGTTCTTCCTAAAATGCAATTAATTAAAAATGTGCATTAAACTAGAAGTTGATAATAATTGTACAAGGAAAACAATATTTTACTGCTTCCTGTTGAACTTCATCAGTTTGATTTGCAGCTTCCCACTCTTGGTTATCTTGTTCCATTGGTTCTTCACTTTCATCATACTGATACTGCTCTCCTTCAATTGCCTGTACATATGTACCATCACCATCATTAACAGTATAATAAATTGCTCCATCATCTTGCGCATCATCGTTTCTGTATCTTTGCACCTTGAATTTAATTAATTTATAAAATTGTAACAAACTGTATTTTTTTATACTTGAACAACAATTGTAGAACATATAATTATGTTTTATAAATAAAACTTTATCACAAAACACCTTTATTGTACTATACCTGAACATATTCTACATTCGATATATTATCTTCAGAGGATTTTGCCTGTTTTTTGGCGCTTAGCACGGTATAAACTAGATTATTCTCTGCATTTTGAACAACTTCATGCTGACTGCCATCCAAACTCATACTGTTGTCTTGATTCATACTTGCGTCATAATTACCTTGTGGATAAGAACTTTCCCGTGTTCTTTCATCAGCTGCTATGATTTCACTCACATCCCCATTATTGTATGATTCATAGGCATATGCCTCTTCAGGGCCAGCTGATTGATCTTCTGGATTTTCAACTTCATTATTTTGTTCTTCCTGTTCATACTCATCCTCCCAGTCGGCTGAAGCATCATAATGTACTACACCTTTTTCTTTTTTAATTATGTGACTGGCATACACTACTTGCTGTGAAAATCATGTTTAATATTTTAGATGAAACAAGGTAATTCAGTGGTATAAAATAACCTTGCCTGAAAAAGTTCAGTGCAAAAAAACATTCATATTCTAACCTTTCCAGCTAATACTTTGCTTGTATCTTCCTGTAAATATTCTCCATTAGTTGTTTCTGTAGCCTGTTTTTCTTGAAGGCCTTCTTGAATTTCTCTTTCAATTTGTTCAATCGTTTCACCTTGGTCCTCGTTATTTTCCTCTTCTTCTACTAGAAGCTCTTCAACAATTTCAACAATTTCCTCAACTACTTCACCATCCTCATCTCCTTCTTGCTCCAAGATGATTTCCTGCCCTTCACTAGCTTTTTCTAATATTTCAATTACCTTTTTGTCAAGCTCCATTTTTCTAATCTTTTGCAACTTTAGGTATTACAAATAACTCAATACCATTCTACAAACCGATGGCTCAATGTAAAACGTAAAACGTGTAGTGTAAAAATACTAAAGACCCTGTAAAAAGTTATGACGTAAGTGATTACACATGACTAACTATGGAATCGTTTATTATTTACAAATAGATAACATGGAATGGTACTAGGGAAACGACTGTTGAAATCGTTTTGAAAAAAATGTACAAGCCAATTAAATTTGAAAAGTCACGTTGGTGCAGCAACACTGATTCTCTTGTTGTTCACACAACTTGAAAAGACAGATGTTTAGTTTGCTAGAACCGTTTTAAACGATGGGTAATGTGCCCATGACCAAATATTCCAATTTCCACCAGTAATGCGAGAATTTGTGTGCAAAGCATTTGTGCGAGCTCAAGTAAACACAATTACTGAATAATTAATGAAACAATGCGTTGTATTTTTCAAGGTTACGACTCAAGTACGAAAACGATTAATCTTTACATGCGGGAGCTAGAGAAGAAACGTCGAACTCACGATTTCCCAAGTATTCAGGATTGGAATATGACAGAGTAAGTATACACTGAAGTAAAGAGCATCCAAATACAGGAAAACTACGACGTTCAGCACAAGTGCTGAGGTGTTTGGTTCCAGTTGGTGATGGTTTTATTATATCCACGGTGTCGAGTACAACAAAATTCATTAACATGCAGTATAAGGTTAATTAAATAAATTTTTACACCAAAAACACCACATTAAGTATACAAAAGCAAGCAAGTTTTGTAACAAAAGTACGCCGCCACCGCGCCAAGGCGTGGGGACTCGATCCTTCTCTCTCGTCTTGGCAAATCCTACATCCGACCCGCGCGCGCGAGGATATTCTTGATATATATACCTATTATATTGTGCGTGCCAAGAATCAGCTTCCAAACTAACCTCTTTTAGGTGGTTAAAAAATCCAGACAAGTATTAAGCGCGCAGGAGGCGTGTCCACGCAGTAATTTGTTGATATGGGTACCTTACATCCAAAGAAATCGGCAAACTTCGATTTCTCCAATGTAATTCGAAAAAAGCCGAGCTGAGCAGAAGCAGGGAAATCGGTCGGTATTACCAATACTTGGACCGAGCGGCCTTATCAACGGACAGCAAAATGGCCACGCCACTTGATTGATGCTGCTAATCCAATGCCTGCTCCCCACTCTCCCCGGTGCTTACTCTGCTGCAACTGCTGCGATCTGAACGATCCCCCACGCCGTATATATATAGGTATAACAGTGCAGTGGGACTAGTGGATGAGTAGATGAGGGAGAGCGCAGTGCTGCCCTGATGGTGATGTGGTAAACTTTTCTTCTTTTGTCGGGTTTGGTTTGTCCAACCAGGTCCAACAACACTCCAACACCCAAGTTCACGACGTTCGTGTTGACGAGCTCATGAGTAGTTGCCTTTCAATATACTATAGAGATGCGGGTGGACTATATCATTTTCCAAGGGATGCAGATTATTTCTCATTCTCAGTCAGAAAAGTCAGTTCTACTTACTTTTGTTCTCACGTTCGATCAAAATCAGTACATTATTAGTACACCATCAGTTATTCAGTAGTGTTAACTGTTTACGACTCACACTAATAGTTGTATGTTATAAGTTATATATTTATTTATGTAGGACTTTATTATTCTCGTGCAGGATTTAATGGAGATGGTGGGTGTTCTCCTTTTCTATCTATTATATCACTAGGTTTCACAGTCACTACTCTATGCCAAATTGAGAATGAAATAAAATACACACACAAACAAACACATGACACATTGCAGATTGCAGCGTACACAGGAGTCAAGAAACTTATTAAAAGAATCTACTCATCTCTGGAATCAGCATGACATGATGACATTTATGCTTTTGTACTTACATTTGTATACACACACACGTACACATTCCTGTGTTTTCATAGTATAGATGTATCAACATGTGTACCTATTATTTTCTTTTCTAATTCTAAGCTATCTTGGCTGTCCCAGGAAGTTTCACTATTCCCAGCTCGTAGCCTAACCTTCTCGAGGTGATATTATGACATATTGCTGGTCTCTCATAGAAGGACTGAAGGAATCGAGAGAGGATTACGTTTGATTCTCTACGTACCTATTCAGAGAACGGAAAAAAGTTTGTTCATAAGGAGCCTCGTCAAAGGGCTCGAATGATGCGCATAAGGAGTCATGCAACGACAGCAGACCGAGCAGACGGAGACTCACTGCAGCGTTAGAGAACTTGACCTTACGCTGCAGCCGCGCGTCGTGCCCAGGTACAAAACCTGGCTGGTACTTGCTACCCAACAGGTAATTATCGATGGGTACTCATGCCTACTTGTGTAACTTTATTTTGGTTAAGGTTTTTTTTTTCGTTCATTGTGCTCCTTTGTTTTTAATTCCTTGTATTAATTTTTCTTCATTATTACAATTGAAAAGTGAAGTGCTCCTTATTTCTAACTATTCAGTTTCATACCTATTCACAGTTTATATTATTACTTGCCACGTTTTGCTTTTTTACCTACAAAATTTGACTTTTAAGTTTAAAATATTAAATGTAAAATATTTTGCAGCAATGGTTCATTGAAATTACTGTAATCAAAAAATTTTCAAAGTACTGAGTAACATGTAGTAATTATCAAAAAAATGGGTGTATGGCTTCGTTTGATTTCATTTTACAATATATCAATAAAAATACAGCTTATCAAAACGGTATTTAAGCTTACACTTGCCAGATGACACTATTTTATCTACCATGAACATACCAAGAACTGATAAACAGTGATTTATGAAATATGCAGTCAAATTTTCATACCAATCTCAATATCTTACTTTTACTCGATTTTATATGCTTTTATTTATTCAATGCCTAAAATGATACAGGATTTATAAAACACTTTTCAAAACTTCTCTTTTTAATTTTTATTTATGCTATAATTTGAATTTAACCTGGTTTTTTATTCTTAAAACTTTATGTAAAGATCTATATTAATTAAAAATAAATCAACAATTTCAGCTCCGTTTGAGAAGTTTAATTGAAATCATAGGATACAAGTTAAGGACAAACGAGATAAAGGAGAAATGTTGGTTTTACTACACTCTGCATAGAACAAGTATGTCCTCCCCTTTATATACTAGCGAGCCAATAGACAACATTAGTCCCAAATGGGCGAGTCTTGAAGTGCCTACATTGTACAATACAGGTCATTCAAATGCAAGTGGTAAGTAAAACATCAAGTTCGTACATTTGAATGTACCCACAATTATTTGTTGTTTTATTAGCAAACTTCTAATAGAAAAAAACAAATTTTTTTTATAGAAATCATTATTAGGCTATGGAAGAAAAAAAACAACGAAAATCCACAGTCTGATCTCACTATATTTACATGGGGTATATCTTTCACTGGCTTAGCATACATTGGACCAAAGTTACCAGCCAATTTGGAAAAAATTTTACTAAGTTGCTCTCTTATATTCCATCTGCATGGTGGATATTTTGTACCTCCCTTCTGTCTTATTACCAGTCCAGATGTTAAAAAGTTCCTTGTAATGGGAATTAGTGCATCAGAAGTAAGAAACAGTTACACTGTCAGCAAACTGAGCAGTTTGAGAAATAAAATGCAAGCCTTAAAACAGCAGACTGATTCGGTACAAAGTTTGAAAGAAAAAATAGCATCTGGAGAAAGTTTAAATGTCCCAAAGTATCCACAGTCGACTCTAAACAGATTGCTTCAACCAAAAAGGATAAGTAGGGAAAAAAAAGCGGAAATTTTGAGGATACGTAAGGATCTCGAGGTAGCCAAATTCCGAACTAAATTGTTAGAACATGAACGAGTAAAAAAAATGGGAGAGCTCAAGTCATTGAATCAGTCTCATTCTCAGTTGATGGAACAAAATCAAGAACGAGGTATGGATTAAATTAACTGTTGATAACTGTGATGCAATCATTTCATATTGATTTATAGAAATATATTAATTAAAGGTTTTAAATTAATGGACAAGTACAGAGAGTTAAACAAAGACATGGAAAAACTAAATGAGTGGCGGCAAAATCACGCGGACAAAGGAGATACTTATATACAAACGACTGCCCGTCTCGCTCATCGACGAAAGCAACTTATTTCCGAATTAAACTGCATTTATCCTATCAAACTGGTAAATGTATTTTTAACAAATTATACCTTTCATTCAGAAGCATGTTTCATACGGTGTACATGAGTATTGCGACTTTAAACAGGAAGCAGAAGATAAGTTTACGATTAATAACGTGCATTTACCGGACAGCGAAAGGTTGGATCTTGCAAACGACACTCAAGTTGCTGTTGCTCTGGGATTCGTTGCCCACACTACTCAAATGATCGCCAATTTTTTAAATGTACCAACTAGGTATCCAATCATTCATTACGGTTCTCGCAGCAAAATCATTGATCACATCAATGAAAATCTTCCAGATGCAGATCGACAGTATGGAACTTTGTATGTAAAAAATTACTTGTGATGAATATCTAACAGGGTCAATTTTTCCAGGTTTCCTTTGTTTGCTCGAAGCAAAGACAAATTGCAATTTCATTATGCTGTGTACCTTTTGAACAAAAACATAGCCCAGCTGCGATGGTATTGTGGACTGTTGACGTCTGATCTACGAGCAACCTTGTCAAATTTATCGGGACTAATCAACGTTAAACCATGCAACACGTATGTCAATGGCCCAGCCATCCAATCCACAATAGTATATTATGACCCAAGGGGGTAAAGTATGCCATTTCCTCCCAGCGTGTAGTTAGGACTCACTCTACAGGAAATGGCATACTTTGTTAGCATACCTTGAAAGTTCGTTTAATATATATTTTGTAATAACAATAAAGTCATCTATATACTAAAGACTCTCGTTTAGAACTGAAACAAGAAAATGATTATTTCTTATTTTCTAGTCGTGCCATAGAAATGTAGTCCAAACAAATAAAAATATGTATCAAAAGGAGCTGATTAACGAGCTGTAGAGTCATAACATGCTTCTCCGCGGCTAAATTATAGGAAATAACGGCTAGTTTTGCTCCCTGAAATTAGGAAAACTAAACGAACTTTCGTCAGGGGTGTGGAGTGAAAAATATTAAATAAAATTTTTTGTGGTATGATGTAGGTTGGACAGCTCTAGAAGAACATTTTCTGGTTCGTCGTTAGATATGGATTTGGGCAGTGGCAAAAGCAGTTTTCCTCCGACAAACAAATCCTTGTTTGATAAGTATCACAGAACAACCAAAACGATGCTTGGCTCGTCACTTGACCAAGGATTAAATCAGTCTATGATACGATCAAAATTCCTGAATAATCAGTCCAAAAGAATATGTAAGTCCGAGGAAAGCGCCTTAAACATATGTAGTATAAGTAGTGGCGAGACTTTTAACGATAGTGCTATTTTTGATAAATCAATGAACGAGATGAGCCAAGGCCAAGCTAATGGTAACAGTGAAATTGATATCGAAATAATGGTGCCAATGTCTGTGTTAAATCCAAAGTTCAGATCCGATAGTATTGAAAATTCTGCTTGTCCAAGACAGAGAAGCTCTAATTCAGTCAGTAGCTGTGAAATGGCGTTGAGCTGCAGTTTAGCAGATGGAGAGGAAAGTTCAAATGGAAATTCTGCCAAGACAGAGGACAATGGAGATCAAGTTTCTGCGAGTCGGGAAAACGATAGCAATAGTTTTCCTAACACTTTAAAATCTGGAAACGAGAGCTTGGCAAAAAAATTTAATGTAAATTCAACTTCGATTCAAGGTCCATTGTTGAAAAAAGTAGCCAAATCAAGTCATTCTTTGTATAACAAAAACGATTGTGATGGTGAACACATATACTTAAAAAGTAGCTCGGAACAAACTTTGATTTTGAAAGAATATGAAGTTACATGTGATCCAGAAAAAAGGTATGTAAATGACTAAAAATTTTTGTATTTGGTTGTTCACGGCTCATGTATCTTCACATTTCATTTTCATTACATTTTTTTATAACTTTTATTTTTATTTCTCATTATTCCAGTCTGACAGCAGAATCTTTTCAGGCACGTTGAAGTAAATCCTGAGAAGTAGACACAATGAGATTGCCAAAGAACTTGTTAATGAACCAGTCTGTGATCAACTGGTAAATATATAATTTTTAAGTTAAATTGAAAAAATAATTTTGTGTATGGTTTTTTTTCTCTTTCAGTTAAAGGTACCCACAAATTTATGTAAAGTACAGAACAAGCTGAAATTGCAAGATTTCACATCGTCCACGTAATGTATAGATTTCCTAAGACAAAGTTCTGAGAACATTTTCGCACTCACTTAGCAAATAAGACTAAGAGACCGTGACTGTAAAATTATGAACTATGAAATACAAACTATTACTTTTTTTGTGTAATTTGATCTGTACAGTTATTTTTCGCAAAGAGATATAAGTAAATATAAATAAATGCAGTCAGATCATAGAACAAAAAAAATTAATTTTTTTTTTCAATTTGATATTGTACATATTGCGTTAAAAACTTAAACGTTTGCAAGTCTCTTTTAAATTAATTGACATCTACATTCACAAAAAAATATCGTAGTTGTATTTCTGTAAAATATGAAATTCCAAGTTTTATTTAATAAATATGTTTCAATACAAATTTTAGTGATTTATCTACCTGTATAATCCCATGAAATGAAATGCAGTTGCTTACAATTGAAAATAAATGTCACGTCAGTATTGTAGAAAAGTCTAACATTGTTACTAGCAAAAAAAAACTAATATATCTAATTACATACTAATGGCACTATATAAAAATATTTGGCACTGTATGGTAACTTTATTTTCTTTAACATAAAATGGTACAACTAACGTGAAAAAACTATTTACTATTTTTTTTTCTTTCTCAGCTATTGTTTCTATACTTTTGTCTTCAGATCAAACGTAATTGCCTATAGTTTAGAGGAGATCGTCGTCTATTTTTTTAGCAGCTGCTCCATCGTTTCATTTTCGTGATGAAAGAGACAGGAATTTTTTTACTCTTAGTATCGTATGAATTGTAACTTATTTGTTTTTAAAATACTATTGGCCACTGTTAAAGTTCTCTTAAGTGTAATAACTAAGCAACACATCATCTGGTATAAATTTGGATCCTTGATCACAGAACAAAACAAAAAGTATACATTAGGAAGTTCCTTCGTATTTTTAAATTATCAGCACTTACGACAATATATTGCTGAGTTATAAAATTAGGAGGTTTCCTCAAGGCCAGTCAATTGTTTGCTTACTTCCCAAAGTCTGTGAGCTACTTCAGGTTCCAGTTTTTTTTTCGAATTGTAAACTTTACAATCGCGATATAGTTTACCACTTTCATCAGCTAAATCTGGGTCAGTAGCGCAATATAACAAAGTCTGTGCGCCCTAAAAGGGTTTCAAATTCAGATTAAATTTTTTCCAATATCATAAGATCACCAATTATGAATAATGAGTATTAAGGTTTACCTGATTTGGTGTTCTTAAAAACAGCAATGCCACAGGAGAAAATAATATGTAGTGTAGCCAACTTCTTTTTACATGTCTAAAAAGCCCAGTGTAAACAAACCCTGGACAAACTATATAAATGCTAACACCACTGCCTTCAGTTCTACTGGCAAGTTCGGTAGCAAAGTAAGCATTTGCTAATTTGGAGTTGCAATACCCAGGATTCATACGACCCTTGACTGGTAAACATTTTTCCCCATTCAGATTGTTAAAATCAATCACACCAGATTCTAATAATTTTGAGGTCACTACAACCACTCTACAGAAAAGTTGTGTTGCATTTTAAGTTATGCTTGAGTAAGTAAAATTTTAATAATAATTTGTAATTAATCCACCTGCTTGGTGCGGATTGCTTTAACCGGTCCAGCAATAAATTTGTCAATAAAAAGTGTCCCAAATGATTAACACCAAAATGAAGTTCAAATCCATCTTTGGTTAAAGCTGTGTCTGTTGCGTACACACCTGCGTTATTGATAAGCACATGGATTTCCCGAAAATTTTTCAATACTTCTGCAGCAAAGTGTCTTATCGATGTCATTGAAGCAAGATCAAGTTCCATGGAAATCTAAAAATTGAAAATAGAGTAACCATTACAGGAAAAAATGTCTTATTTCATTTAAGGATTGCTTAGACGTGTCTTGATTTTTTCAACAAAAATTCTTACAAGCTGTGCATCTGGTGCTATGTGACGTATCTCGATAGCTGTAGCCTTAGCAGCTTGTAAATTTCTACATGCTAATATAACGGTAGCTTTTCTTTTAGCAAGTTCTTTGGCCACTTCTTTTCCAATACCAGAATTACTGCCAGTCACTATGAAGACGCGGCCTTCCAAATTACTTTTGCTCTTGCATCTTCCCCACGAGTATTCTCTACATTTCCTCAACAATCCAGCAATCAATACTACTGGCAGGAGAATGTAACACAAGATGGAAACCATTTTTCCTTCTGAAATGACAATGATTTTACTTTGAGTATTCATAGTCTGTCATGGTGATAAGTAATAACTAGACAAAATCTAAGTTGATAACATATACATATTCATAAACTTGTAAATGCATATGTAGGTATGGTATAGGTACCAGATTAAAGAGGTAACGTTCAGGTTTGATTATGAATTAAACTGTAATCATGTTAATCATCAATTTTCATCTGTGAGCCTGCTAAAGCTGGATAAATAAAAATATGAGAATAAAGTGGAGCATATTAAAATCACGTATTATTTATGGATAAACATACCTATGTTTTTCAACTGTCAGAAATTGTTAAAGTACATCACGCTACATTACAGATTAGCTTGTTACAAAACAGTATTTCGTTAACAAATCCAAAAAGCTACACAAGTTCTTGCCAGTAAATACAAACACGCGCAAGTGTCGGACTGGAGTCCGGATGGTGCCGCCGGTGTCTGAATTCTGAAAAAAAAGATAGTATTTACATTCACTCAGTTGCTCAGTCAATTAAGTAGTCCTCACACTCCTCACATGATAATTTGATGAAAATTAAGAATTGAAAATTCACTGCTGATGCACATTGCAGTATTGCGCACACACTCTGTAAGGCAATACTTTTTTGTATACATGAGTTTGCTTGTATAGAAAATGAAATGATAGGTATAGGTACGTATTGTACGTAATACGTATTACGTTTACGTATACGTAAACACATATACCTACACACCCGCAACGGAAAAAAGCGCTAGAGATAACTAGTGACATTATTATTCAAATTGATTTTTCTCTTTCCAGTTATCAGTAATTCGTACTTTTTCCAAATTACTTAAGTATCTCAGCTAAAGGGTGTAAAACTTTTAAGCAATTGCAATGTAAATACATACACAAATCTAATACATCTATTTCATTAAAAAATTTTAGAATACGTGTAGGTAATGGCGTATTAAAAATTACACTAGACAACAAGACGCGCGACAGCATAAATAATATATTACTGCCTGGTAACAAAAATATTAATTTGACATGCGTTTATACAAGCATGTATTTAAAGCTTTGAGTAAAAAAGTAAAAAAAAATTGCGCAAGGAGTCAAAAATTAAATTGCTCGGAAATTTAAATTATACGCTCGAATTACAAAAACGTTTGTATATAATATCTCTCCTCAAAAGCGAAAATTAATGACATCAGATACTACCATTACCGTAGTTGTTAGTATTTTCGTGCGTTATTTTCTTGGACTAACCAAGTACCCAATATTAGCCTTCTCTCTGTCTCTCTCTCGACGCTCCAAAATCCCGTCGTTGGATTCAAATAGAGTGCGTGTATAGCTATATACACAAGGAGCTATATATACTCTCTCTGTCTCTCTCTCGACGCTCCAAAATCCCGTCGTTGGATTCAAACGAAGCATCAGTGTGTATAGCTATATGCATTCGATTCAACTCCGTACCTTCCGAGCTCCAACATTTACTTCCGAGAGCGACTTCCGGCAGCCAGATTTTCAAATGCATTCGGCTCGGAAGCTTCGGAGGATTCATTCGGAGAGGAAGCGCCCACCCGTTCGCAAGTACTAGTCAACTTTTATCCGCGTTACTTAATTAACAAATACGCGTAGTTAGTGAATATCGTAGTTTAGTGAAAGTTTCGCGTTTTCTTGTCGGCATATTCTTACGGGGTGAGTGAATCGCCTCGTAAGTAAAAGTACAGTGATCCGTTTAATCGCAGGTAGTTTTTCGGTCGCCATTTTGTCCCTCTTTTTTCGACTTTTTTCGCGGATCTATCGGGTCAAGGGCATCGTGTTCCTGAGGAAGCAGAGGCGGTGCAAAGTCCAACGGCTCTTCGGACGTGAGATAGTGAGGTTAGTCACACTTGCATGTATGTTCCTTAACCTCCTTCATTAGTGTGTGAGTTGGTGAAAAAAGCCAACCTTTGAATTCGCGCGCGGCTGCCATATATAGATATACACCTAGTGTGTTCGTGTGGGTGGTGCGCGTAGCTACCGTGCGGCTTCCTACTCGCAATATATACCTATATATGTGCGTGCATGATAGAGTTGGACCCGAAAACTTTGCGAATTATACCTGCGGAAGCTGTAATTCATTGGAATACGGCAAATTGTATATATAGGTATATACCATATGCACGCATTCGTTGGGGTTGGCTCCGGCTCGAGTTTTTTTTAGCCGTGCAAAAATTGCAAAAGGTGAAACGGACTAAGTAGTACCTACGGGTCATAATTCGGTGCGTTTTGAGTTGCGCTAACGACTCCTTCGACGTTCGACTTCCCCAGCTGCAACCTGCAACGATCCGCAAAAATTTGAATCGTGCTAATCTTCGTCTCGGGAGTCGAAACGAATCGTGCTAATCTTCGTCTCGGGAGTCGAAACGGTTTTTAACTAAGTCACAGAGAACTTTTGGTTTTGTAGCGAAAAAAGATTTAAAATGGTTAATGTCTTTTTTTCAGCTTCTAATGCTAGAGATGAGGGAGATAGCAAAAAGTAACTTTGCGAGCTCAGAGAACTGCACTTTTCGGCCTGTGCTTGCATTTCGGAGCTGCAATGTAAGTTTTTGGTAGCAGTTCATGACATATTTACATTACTTCAGCAGTACTCAAGACCTTCTGTTTTCGTTTTTGTAGAACTGCAGAGAACATATTTGCCATTTATGGTGTCCCACTGTATGTCCTACCTCTGTTTGTAACATGTAGACACATGGACAGAATATATAATGCTGCCACCGTTTGAGAGTGAAACAGGGCATTGGTGAGTCAAGATTTTAATTTGTAAACATTGACTCTTTTTTAAATTGATTTTATCTGTTCTAAAACTGGAAAAAAATGTAACAGATTTTTTTTTTGGAAAAAGAGTCAATATCTTGTATTTTTTTAATATATCTCAGTATTTTATTGAAAAAATATCATTTGTTCATTTACAACTTGGAATGCACGTACGGACACACATTTATATTATTAATATTAATCCTTCAATTATTTCTATGGTAAATAGCGAATCAAATTTTTCCACGTACTGTTTTTTATTTAAATTTACATGTATAAAATTTTTATGTCCAAAACTTATATTCTTAAGCTAACATCCCTATATCCCGTTCTATACTGACTATTTGAAAAACATTAAATAGAAATTAATACTATATCTGGCACAGTGTCAGACTTTTTTTATATGAATATTGAGTACATTTATACTCAATTTAGTAAAGTTGAATATGTATATACCCAAATCAATATTTTATGACAAATGGTTCTTTAGAAAATTCAAACTTGTCAATATTTTCCATCCCAAGCGCTCTCTTTTCTACCCCATTAATCGAATTGTGACATTCATGAGAATCGGGATTTAAAGTGCTTCTTATCTCCCGCTTTGTGTTCACTATACTTATATTATATACATGGATGAAAAGCCGAATCACTGGCTGCAGCCCTGCACTCTGTCTGCTGTTTACGTGGCTCTGTGTGTTGTTGCAAATATAAGCATTATGTGTACAATAAATGTATGCCACTTATAATAACTATAATCATTAAGCTCTACTTGTTTTGTTTGCAAAGTGTAATTGTCAAGTTGTAATTATTTTTGCCATTTCACCTGTGTTTTTGGTACCATGAGCAGTTTGTTTTTGAAGTTGAAACCTCTGAGCTGTGGATGTAAGATTGCACTTTTATAAGTATATTTATTCTTTTTAAAACATATTTATTTAAAAGTTACAAGTCATTCCAGTCTTGTGATGCTGTGTGCGCAACAGTGTAGTACTGCTGAGTGTGACATATGCCCTCAGGAGTACACAACTAATTTTGGAATTTATAGTTTCAGGCTTGGCAGTATCGCAAAAATTTGTTTCTAAAATGACGTCAGTAATGAAAAATACATGCAATAATTACAATACCTTGGCTGTAACAGAGCCATGCAGTTTTGTTTATCATGTTCAGCTTAATAGGCCAGATAAGTTTAATGCCATAAATGATGTTATGTGGAAGTACGTTGTTTTTTTATTAGTTAGAAAACTGTATTATTTCAATAAATACAAAATTCTACTTCAACTTCTTTTTAGAGAAATTGGTCAATGTTTTAATGAACTTGATAACAAGTCAGACTGCAGAGTTATCGTTTTGTCAGGAGCTGGCAAATCATTTTGCGCAGGTAATCATTAAGCTTTATGTTTTAATTAAATAAAATTATTTCTCTATTTTACTTTAGGACTTGATTTGAAAGATGCAATGACGCTTTTTCAATCTTGATGTTGCTAGGAAGTGTAAGATATTGGAGAAAAAAATAAAAGAATATCAAGATTCCTTTACTTCTATTGAAAAGGTAACAATCAATCCTTATAATAACCAATCATCAATTATTGCCAAAATATCTTTTTTTATTTTCATTCTGACATAATCAATTTCCATTGTAGTGCTCTAAACCAGTCATTGTAGCTGTACACGGAGCTTGTGTAGGAGGCGGCGTAGACATGATTTGTTCCACAGACATTAGGTACTGTTCAGCAGATTCATGGTTTCAGATTAAAGAAGTTGATCTAGGAATGGCTGCTGATGTTGGAACATTACAAAGGTTGCCAAAAATAATTGGATCTCAAAGTGTGGTCAGAGAACTTGCCTATACTGCTAGAAAAATGGCAGCTCCAGAAGCTTTAATGCTTGGTTTTGTTAGTCAAGTCTTTAATGACCAGAAGGAGTATGTTAATTTTATATGGATAACAAAAACATTATTCATTGATACATGTATAGAAAAATTGTTTAATTATTAACTTATATATTCAAGGTTGCTGGAGAAAGCTCTGGATCTAGCAAAACAAATAGCAAGCAAGAGTCCAGTTGCTGTTCAAGGAACTAAACTTAGCTTGAATTATTCACGAGATCACACTGTTGATGAGGGATTAAACCATATTGTAAGTATTGCAGACAAGGAGCAGTCATTTAGTTCACCTAAAAATATAAATTAGACAATATCGCAGCAAACCATGATAAAAAAAGAGAAATTTCAATCAATAACTTTTTCAGCTAATGAGGAATCAAGTAATGTTGCAAAGTCAAGATTTCGTTGATGCAGCTGTAGCACTGGCTACAAAAGGAGATCCACCAGTTTTTTCAAAATTGTAATAACTACTAAGGGATAATAAGTTTTATAAATAACTTTGATATATCTATTTTTTATAATAATGTTTCGGAATAAATATTTTTACTCTGTTGTCAATAATTTCGTAGTTTTTACTCCTAATTTATAATAAAATAAATTTTTCTCTGAATCAAACTTCTAAACTCTTACACCACATTGTATCACTCATTAGAAAATAAGCTTATTCCTTTTCATAAATGTTATTAACATTTTTATCTGTAGTTATTTTAGCTGTTAAAGATTGAAATTGAATATTAATAAATTTCTTAAAGGACTCAAAACTTTTCGTACAAATACTCACAATTAGCATATTAATGTAATGTTCATAGTGAATTTTACTGGTTTGTGGGTCGCAAGCAACAGACATCATTTCATTGATTTCCTCCTTGGTAAACGGCTCACCCATTTCTGTAAGAGATTTTTCTAAATCATCCCTCATGACGTAACCGCGGTTATCCGGATCCAATACTTGAAATGCTTTCAAAAGATCTTCTGGGTCAGCCGGCTTATACCTTCATTAATTAATTTTTTAAAATGGTTATCAATCATTCCTTAACGTTAAACACTTAAAAATACAAGTACTTTTGTTCACTATTTGCTTTGCACATGAATTCTATAAAACGATCACGTGGGACGCAGTTATTTTCGACATCTTCTACTTCAACCTGAATTTCTTGCAATTCTGCTTCAGTAATAATGCAGCCTGCAACAAATATGATTTTTTTACAGATCAAAAATTCGTGTCCTTGAAAGTATTAAAAATTTACGAGATTACCTATGGATCTGATGATAGTTCCCAATTCTCTGACATCAACTTGATGACTTTTTGCATTATCAAAAATGTCAAAAGCTTCTATAAGTTTTTTTTGTATCTGTGAAAGCTCCACTAAAGCACCGATTAAAATAAAAAAGTATTTAAAAAAATAATAATGAATAAAATAATTCTTACTGTCTAAATAACATAAGTTTTAACCTATGTATACAATTGACGCGTCTGTAACTTATTTGATCAATATCTCTAGGTTTTTAGTAATTATTGGCTCACAAGTTATTTGAAATAGAGAATGCGGTCTAATAATTATTAAAGAAATTTAGGTACAAATTTTGCCTTACTTTTGGTACTAGAATCTTATTGTCTACTATTAATAGGATCCATGATTTTTTTTTAACTATCGAAATTGCTAACTTGATTTTTTTTCACAATTGCTTTCTTGAATAAGGAAGGTTATAACGAATCCGTTTAGTAAAAATAAAAACAATTGATATTAGAAAAACTATAGCTGATAGTATTACAACACTGAATAAAAACAGAATTGGAACCCCTGACAATAAAAAAAAGTGTCATGAAAAGAAGTAAAAATAAGAGAACAATTATTTTTGAAAATTATCTTTTGACTTTTAATTGTTTAATTTAATCATATGCAAAAGTAGTTTTCGAATTGGTGATAAACTGATACAGTAAGGACTGCATACGTACCATACTATACTCAGCCAGCGATTCAATTTATGCATATAATTATACTGCCTGTACGTCACTAGGATGATTAGAAAAAACTGAATAAACCGTGTGTACCTATTTAAGTATACCACTAAGTAACAGTACTTATGTCTACGCTGCTCCAAAAATTTTGTTAAAAAATGCTAAACACAGTACTATGTTTTTCGTGCGTTATTGTCTTGGACTGTCTGCTAGTGTCTTTACGTGCGTTATTTTCTTGGACTATCCAAGTACCATTAGATTTCTCTCGTTCTCTCGAATGTCGCGCAATTTCCCAAATCTCATTGTCAAATTAAAATGAGTCAAGTAAATCAATGTATATAGCTGCATGCACACATATATAATTTATCTCATACAATATATTAACATTTTATAGAAATACCCTGAAAAGTGAAAATTTCTAACATGAAATATGTTACGATACTGGCTAGTATTTTCGTGCGTTATTTTCTTGGACTAACCAAGTACCCAATATTAGCCTTCTCTCTTTCTCTCTCTCGACGCTCCAAAATCCCGTCGTTGGATTCAAATAGAGTGCGTGTATAGCTATATACACAAGTAGCTATATATACTCTCTCTGTCTCTCTCTCGACGCTCCAAAATCCCGTCGTTGGATTCAAATAGAGTGCGTGTATAGCTATATACACAAGGAGCTATATATACTCTCTCTGTCTCTCTCTCGACGCTCCAAAATCCCGTCGTTGGATTCAAACGAAGCATCAGTGTGTATAGCTATATGCATTCGATTCAACTCCGTACCTTCCGAGCTCCAACATTTACTTCCGAGAGCGACTTCCGGCAGCCAGATTTTCAAATGCATTCGGCTCGGAAGCTTCGGAGGATTCATTCGGAGAGGAAGCGCCCACCCGTTCGCAAGTACTAGTCAACTTTTATCCGCGTTACTTAATTAACAAATACGCGTAGTTAGTGAATATCGTAGTTTAGTGAAAGTTTCGCGTTTTCTTGTCGGCATATTCTTACGGGGTGAGTGAATCGCCTCGTAAGTAAAAGTACAGTGATCCGTTTAATCGCAGGTAGTTTTTCGGTCGCCATTTTGTCCCTCTTTTTTCGACTTTTTTCGCGGATCTATCGGGTCAAGGGCATCGTGTTCCTGAGGAAGCAGAGGCGGTGCAAAGTCCAACGGCTCTTCGGACGTGAGATAGTGAGGTTAGTCACACTTGCATGTATGTTCCTTAACCTCCTTCATTAGTGTGTGAGTTGGTGAAAAAAGCCAACCTTTGAATTCGCGCGCGGCTGCCATATATAGATATACACCTAGTGTGTTCGTGTGGGTGGTGCGCGTAGCTACCGTGCGGCTTCCTACTCGCAATATATACCTATATATGTGCGTGCATGATAGAGTTGGACCCGAAAACTTTGCGAATTATACCTGCGGAAGCTGTAATTCATTGGAATACGGCAAATTGTATATATAGGTATATACCATATGCACGCATTCGTTGGGGTTGGCTCCGGCTCGAGTTTTTTTTAGCCGTGCAAAAATTGCAAAAGGTGAAACGGACTAAGTAGTACCTACGGGTCATAATTCGGTGCGTTTTGAGTTGCGCGAACGACTCCTTCGACGTTCGACTTCCCCAGCTGCAACCTGCAACGATCCGCAAAAATTTGAATCGTGCTAATCTTCGTCTCGGGAGTCGAAACGAATCGTGCTAATCTTCGTCTCGGGAGTCGAAACGGTTTTTAACTAAGTCACAGAGAACTTTTGGTTTTGTAGCGAAAAAATTTAAGAGTTGAAATGGTTAATGCATAGATATACACCCTTGTTAGTGGGGCTGGTGTTCTAACCTCTCAGTTCACAAACCTGCTATTTGCTTCACTTTTGAAATACACATATTTATATTACTTAACATAATGATAGTCTCACAAGCGTCAAGTTTAGTTATGCCTGTTGCTAATCGATGATGTATCCTGTTTTTAACATAAATGCAACATATATATATATATATATATATCCTTTTTTGCCCCAAATTAATATAAAAATCATTATTTTCATTACAAATTTGTAAGTTTTTATCCCTTGTTGGTTGGGTACTATTTTAAAATTGAAAATTATTCCACGTTTTTATGTACGTAAAAAGATTTGTATCTTATTTTTAAGAATGCACGAAAGCAATTTGTAGAATAAATTGTAGAAAATGTAAAGTTGCTTTGGTGCTTAGTTTCCACCATAATTATTGTAGTCCAGAGGTTGCAGTTCAATCCAACTTAAAACAAAAGTGACATAGCATCTCAGAAAATACGTTTCAAAAAAAAATTATTATGGAGGAATGAAGTAGAGCTGCCCAGCCAAAAGTTTTATCATAACGCTACTTGTTGCTTAAGGAGATTTGTTACTGGGTTTTCGAATTTCACATGCTCTGACTGATCCAAATCACAGCTTGTATTTGGAATAGGTTCCCATTTGGCAGGCAAAAATACTACTATACTAAACTATTCTTGGTTTAGACACATATATCTATCATTTCTTTATTCTTTCATAAATTTTTCTGAATAAATTGTTGCAGTAGATTCAATGTTTTGTCTTTGTCTGATCAGTGTAATGTACCCACCTTGTTCTCTTTATTGAATATGAACTTTTTAAAGGCTTACACGTACTTGCCATATTAACTATAAGTGAAGCTTTTAAGATGGTACGTTATAGAAACTAAGACGTACAGTGTAAAAGCACTTTTTTTACTGACTTCACACCACCATACTGAAAATGAATGTTACTCTTAAGAAAATTTAATTATTTGACATAAACTTAGATTAAAAGTTGCAAATTTAACATGTCCAACACTATTTTTCAAATACCAAAGAATTTTAATGATTGCTACTGCCCTTGCTGTCCAATAAGTACTTGATTGTCCAATAAGTACATGAGGGAAACTATTTTTATCCTGAAATATTGACGTTTCTTCTTCTTGACTGATTCAGGAACTTGGTAATTTGCACAGGTACTGAAACGATATTAAAGAGGTGCAGCAAGTTGTTTACTACAGTTCTTTACTAGAAATCAGCAGCGGAGTCCGGTCCCCGGATAATGTTGACATTTTTTGAGGTTACTATTGTACCTCCAAACCAGAACCGCCTTTCCCGTGTACGTCAGGGAGACTTGTGTAGGTTATACATTTATATGTTCAACTTTAAACTTCAAATTCAAACTTGATGCTCACAACTTACAAGTTGTACTATGCAAGTATGCACATATTGCACACATTACATGCATTATATGACTCACACGAGAGAAAATTTAGAAACTAGGTATCAATCTGAAGTTTTAAGTGCTTTCAGAACTGTAAAAACTGTAAAAACGAGATGTGTGTGAGGGCCCTTCCGTGCTCTTCACGCGTAGCATTGAAGAGTCTGTTTACGTGATTTGGAGGTGTGATACTGTGATGGCTCGTTCCGATGAGAACTTGAGAACGTTGTCACATAAGTAGAGAATATTCTCGGGAATAGGTGCATTGCGGAAATAGGCATGACGGTGTTATGAAGTATATAGGGTATGAACTTCACCGAGCTGAAAATTAAGAAGTACAGTGTTCTCAGATAAGTTTAGTTCGAGTTTATATTATTATATGTATAAACATTGAACCTACAGTAAATACAGAAATGTGAATAAAAATTCCCGTTTCAATTTCCTGTAATAGGTGCAATAGTAAAAAAATTCGAAAGTCGCCTAAGTATAGATTAATACAAATGAAAAAATTAGTTAAGCTAATGACAAATCAAATGTGTTCTTACACTCCATCTAAAAAATAAATGGTTATACATTTTAATCAAATATCACTGGAACAACTGCACGAGAAAATCTTTCAGTGAATTTAGATGCCTCCATGTTTAGTAGTGATAAAAAGGCATTTTGTCGAGAACAGGGATAAGAGATTTGTTGAAAAAGAAAAAGATAAATAAAATACAGGACTTTTTGTCAATCGATAATATCATTTTGACTCTCATTATTTAAAATTGATTTTTGTATCATGATGTGCGATACATTAGTCTAAATACTTTTATGTTTGTCTTTACAGATTTGCAAAAAACGGATTTACAGTAAAAATTTCCGCACTATTATTATTGACATCAGGAATGCTGCATCTTTTTTGCGGGACGTGGACGATAGAGACCAGGCAAGCTGACAACGTCCCACAGTTGAGTTAGGATAAATCAGCACCGGTGAGTCGGCTTATGAGTTTTATGTATTGACTCTTTTTCTAGGTACTTATGTATGTAATAAGTAAAATTATTCTAATGTATACCACAGTTTCGTACAAACAAAAAATATTTTCTATTTTTTATTGTTCTTACATATTTATTTGTTTCAATGAAGTCTATTGTTTCACTTTGACGTATGTATACACAATGTATAAATGTTCAATATACTATCGTATCGCTCACAGGCGCTGGGCTTGGCTCAGCCTTCTACAAGAGCGAAAAATAACCCACCCTCATGTCCCCATAAAATTTATAGATGTAATTTTTAAATAACGTAAGCATTTTGAATACAATCATAAAGTTCATGAATTAACGTTATTAATTTGAATTGACATAAGTTTTCGAATCAGTAAATCGCGTGATTACGGCTTTAGGTAGGCCCCTACTGCCCCTATTTTTTTACAGGAACACCAGCTCATGTTATTTGCCATGTGCCCACTATGGCAGGTGGTGGGATGCCTGAGATCAGCTCTACCTGCCCCAAAAGCGAAAAAACTCCACCCCTTGCCCCAGTAATTTTTTTTTTTTTTTACATTACGTTAATTTTCTAGATACGGTACTTTTAAAGTTCGGAATTTACGCTATTTTTATTATGAAAAGTTTTTGAATCGGTTGATCGTGCGATTGAGGAATCAAGTAGGCCCCTACTGCCCCTATTTTTTTTCAGGAACACCTGCTCATGCTATTTGCCATGGGCCCACGATGGCAGGTGGTGGGCTGCCTGAGATCAGCTCTGCCTGCCCCAAAAGCGAAAAAACTCCACCCCTTGCCCCAGTAATTTTTTTTTTTTTTTACATTACTTTAACTTTCTAGATACGGTACTTTTGAAGTTCGGAATTTAGGCTATTAATTATGGTTGTAAAAAGTTTTTGAATCGGTTGATCAAGCGATTAAGGAATCAAGTAGGCCCCTACTGCCCCTTTTTTTCAGGAACACCTGCTCATGCTATTTGCCATGGGCCCACTATGGCAGGTGGTGGGCTGACTGGGATCAGCTCTGCCTGCTACAAAATTAGTAGTGACCCTCTTTTTTTGCCCTTAAATATTAGTTTTTTTCTTTAACCTTATGTTAACTTTTCAAAACCCTTATAGAGTTCCGGGATTAATGCTTGTGTTTTAATTTCAATAAGTTTTTAACTATATTATCGTTTTGACTTTTAGTTTGAGTTTTAAAACTTTTCTTTTATGCATTTTTTTTTTTTTTTTCTTTTCTTTGTACACTGTAAAGGAATTTTTTAAACTATTTTTCTTAGAATCGAATTTAAATCCGTCCCCCTTTCCACAGGAAACAATAGCTCATACCGACAGGCGCTGGGCTATGCTCCGCTTGGCCCGATGGTACTGGTACTAAGTAGTACACGTACTGACTTTAATGGTCTTGGATCTCAATAGAGACCGAGAAGTAGTAAGTATAACATATTTATGTGTCTCCTCCTCTTTTCCTCTTATAAAAAAATGTTAATTTTTAATAAATATTTAAGTAAAGCAACTCGTTTACTTGATTTGTATAGGCAAAACTTGGCTGTTGATGCAATAGATTGAGTGATTTTAAAAAGAGTAATATAATTCTACACGTGCGTCGGAAACTCGAATTGCTAAAATACTTTTCCTCTTATAAAAAAATGTTAATTTTTAATAAATATTTAAGGTGGTTTTATCGTTTACTATCTGAGTTTCGCAGTGATACGGAAATTAGTGAAGTGTGATTTAATTCATCCTATTCAATGCCATAAATGGCATGATTGATAATCATGACCTTGTTTTTGAGAAATTGGCACCTGAAAATGTTTATTTAAACGTGCTGTCTGAAACATACAATTTGAATGATTCATACTTGAAAGTAAAGTACTGAAACGAAAAAAATTTTTTTTTCAAAAACTCCAGATTTTTTTTATTACAGAGATTACTTATATAAAGTCATCTAATTATTATTGAAATGGGTAGTCAATTGATTTAATTATGTAAGCCTGAAACATAGACTTTCAATCTTTGCTAGATATATACCTAGAGCCTCTCTCTTGGTACGGTCGTAACGACGAAGCCACCTTCTCATGTATATTTAATGACATCGTAAGTATATCATATTTATCTACTTAACAATTTTTCTCCTCCCTTTTTTCCCCCCATTCAAAAATGTTCATGTCATACTTTTTGAGATTTCAATGTTGAACTTTTTTTAAATCGTAAAGTTTCGTATGATTTTTTACGTAACGTTTAATAATATAGAATTAACGTTTTTACTTTTTTCTATTCCTTTATAAAT